CGTATCCACTCGGGGGCCAAGCCCTACAACTGTTCCTACTGCCAGAAGGCCTTCCGCCAGCTCTCCCACCTCCAGCAGCACACACGGTAAGGGAGAGTGGCAGGCTACTGCCCCCGCCCCGCTGGCATGCCCTCCCCACCCCCGCCCCGGACACACACAACAACCCGCATGCGGGGGGCGGGGGAGAAACCTGGCTGGAGGAGAGACCTGGCTGGAGGAGAACACAACTTTCATCTGGGAGAAAGAACAAGTGACAACATGGAGACACAAGTGGATACTCAGAGAGAGCCTTTCTGGGGCAGAAGCTGCACTGGGGAGATGCAATGACTGTGTGATGTTCCCAGATGCATGGGAGGAAGAGATTGACCTGGAGCAGAGAAAACTCTTATTTCCCTCATTGGCTTCCCTGAAAACACCCATGTACACATCTTGCAAGATTTTGTCCTTGATGCCAAAGCCAGAGCACTTGAACATGATACCTCTAGCCCTTAGGGCACCACTTATGAAGGGAAGATACAGACTTTAGCTGGGTATCAGCCTGCTAACACCTACAGCAACAAACAAGGTTCCCAAAGGATGCCCGGAGTAGAAAACAAAACCAAACATGTCCTAAACCTTAAAGAGCCAGCAAACAACGAAAAAGCTCATACTTCATAAGGATGCCCACTGTTTGTCCCATGAATCTGGAGTGACTAGGAGGAAATGACTCTGCCAACCTGAAGAATTGATGTCCTTCAATGGTATCTCAAGTTGAACTGCAATCCACACTCTTACTAAACACCTGGCTGCTTATGGATGTGGTGATACTCTTAAAGTGGTCAGACATTGTGCTTTGTGAAGAGGAGGAGTTGGGCTTTTCTCATAAGGAGACATATCCTGTGATGTTTTCAAGATTTTATACCAGAGTTCCAGAAAAACACCTGGTCTCAAAGATGGTCCTGAAGTTCCTGTTAAGAAGCAGGTGTCCGTGCACCCTCAAGTTCTTGGCTCATCTCAGTGGAGGGCCCTGTAGAGTTTGGGAAACAGGTCAAATTGGTACTAAACTAGGCATTTCCTGCCATTAGGGGGCTGGACTGGGAAAAGTCTGAAGGAGTTTCTGCGAGTATTCATATCGCTGCTACTTTCCATAGTTAGCATAACTCTGTGCTTTTCTTTGACACAAGAATTTTTTCTGGGAGTGGTGCTCCAGGCAGTGGGTATAGTTTCTGGCTGGTTAGTCGGGGGCCAAGGAAGAAGTTTTATGTATTTTTTCTTTTCCTTCCTATTGTGTTTATCTTATGTTTCTGAGCATTCATCAGGGATAATTACTGCAGGAGCTTACTTGTATACCTAGTAATGTGACCTGCCGCTCCCTGGGCTGCTGAGCTACCAGTCCCTCCTTCCCGAGCAGGAGGAGCCCATCTTGAACTGAGAGATGCAGACAGTGAGCAGCAGTCAGACACTGCCGCCTGATGATCCATGTCAGAGGAGCTGAGACGTCCTGGAGATCCATTTCACGCTCCCACTCCCGTGGGAGCACAGGAGTGGCCTTGAGGCTCGTTTGAGAGTCAGTCCCCAAGCGGCCTTGCTGACAGCCTTTCCCTCTCTTGTTTTCTCATCCCATGCAGAATCCACACCGGTGATAGACCATATAAATGTGCACACCCAGGCTGTGAGAAAGCCTTCACACAGCTCTCTAATCTGCAGGTAAATGTTCTTCTTTCCACATGGGGCCTTGACTCCAAGACTTGGGTCAAAGTGCCATTTAACTAGTAAAGTAGTTCTTAAACTTTTTCAGGACCCCTTCACATTTTTAATAATTATCGGGGAACCCAAAATGCTTTTGTTGATGTGGGTAATGTTTATCTATATAGATATTGTAAACTGTTCTTTAAAAAACAACAAACACATTATGTTAACACAAATAACATATTCCCTGCTCTGGCTGGTGTGGCTCAGTGGATTAAGTGCAGGTCTGCGAACCAAAGGGTCGCAGGTTCAATTCCCAGTCAGAGCACATGCCTGGGTTGCCAGCCAGGTCCCTCCCAGTAGAGGGCGTGTGAGAGGCAAACGCACCTTGTTGTTTCTTTCCCTCTCTCTCCCTTTCCCCTTTCTCTAAAAATGAATAAGTAAAATATTTTTAATAACATATTCCAAAACACATACCCACCAAAAAATTTAGTGAGAAAGATGGCTTGTTGTACATTTTTTCACATTTCTTTAAATTATGGCTTACCAGAAGATGGCTAGATCTCGTGTCTACTGTGTTTAATCTATTGCAATATTGTGCATCATTTAATCTCTGTACAGTCATGAGAATGAAAAGGCAGACATTGTCTTACGACTATTTTGGAAATAGTTTTGATCTTGTGGACCCCTTGAAAAGGTCTTGGTATTCCCTGGTGACCCCCATGTCTCACTTGGAGAACCACTGGCCGGGTGAGACCAGCACAGCCATCCTTTCTTTCAGAATCCTGGTCTGTGCTGCATGAGGTATGCTTCTTCCCTTACTTAGCCCATGGTCCCTGAAGTTTCATTTGAAGCAATTTCTACTGCCTTTGGATGCAAAGAGAACCTGGGAGACCTAATACCCTGTTTAGGGCTTTCCGTTAAGGAGGCAGGAGGGAAAAGTCCAATACACTCATCCTTATTTTTACCAATTGTATCAGTCTCACAGGCGGCAGCACAACAAAGATAAACCGTTCAAGTGCCACAACTGTCATCGGGCTTACACGGACGCAGCCTCGCTAGAGGTGCACCTGTCTACGCATACGGTGAAGCATGCCAAGGTGTACACCTGCACTATCTGTAGTCGGGCATATACGTCGGTGAGTACTCGATGCCTTCTCTTTCTTCATAGGCCCGTAAGACTACAATCCACTGTACCCCATCTTTCTGGATAAAGGTGTGTTGCAGTGAATTTCCTGCCTCCCTCACTCCAACTTACACTGTCAAGAAGAACAGAATCTAAACAGACCCATAGCTGAGGAATTCAGGGGATGTCTGATCCCTTAATCCTATAGAGATTGCTAAACAATGATTCCTCATTTTACTTGAACAGAATACAAAATAAAGCAACCTGAGAATTTTGGAAAAGAAAGATTTCAGTTAGATGTTTTCCCTTAGACTCCAGAAAAAGGTTGTAAATTTGTTCCATTCGAAGATCTTTCAGAAAATGACAGCTTTTCCTGTGCTGTCAGATGCCCATGGTGACTCTAAAGGTCCCCCTTCTCTCTAGCCAGGAGTGAGCCCTGAAAGTGGCACAGAGTGAACCTGCCGATGACTTCAGGACATTTCTGTAAAAGTATTGTTCTATTTAAAGCAAAGTAAGCCCAGGTGCTACTTACAAGTAACCTCTTTCCTTCTCTTCCCTCCCTCAACTCCTTTTCACTATCTCCCTCAGGAAACATACCTTATGAAACATATGCGCAAACACAACCCTCCTGATCTCCAGCAACAAGTACAGGCAGCGGCGGCGGCGGCAGCAGTGGCCCAGGCTCAAGCTCAGGCTCAAGCTCAGGCTCAAGCTCAGGCTCAAGCTCAAGCCCAAGCCCAAGCCCAAGCTCAGGCCCAGGCCCAGGCCCAGGCCCAAGCCCAAGCCCAAGCCCAAGCCCAGGCTTCCCAAGCATCACAGCAGCAACAGCAGCAGCCACAGCCACCACACTTCCAGTCTCCTGGGGCAGCCCCCCAGGGTGGGGGTGGTGGGGACAGCAATCCCAACCCTCCACCCCAGTGTTCCTTTGACCTGACCCCCTATAAGACGGCCGAGCATCATAAGGACATCTGCCTCACTGTCACCACCAGCACCATCCAGGTGGAGCACCTGGCCAGCTCCTAGAGACCTGTGCTGCCACCCACTGGGAAGAGGGGAAAGAAATTCTGGTCTCTTCTTTCTCCAACTCCTTGGTGGGGAAAAAAGTCCTCTTCTTCCTTGACATGCCTTGGCTCCATCTCCTTGGACCTCAGGCACGGACTTCCTTCACAGGATAACCATCCTTATTTTCAACTCCTCCTCAAAAAAGAACATCAGCCCTTCTGATTGGCAGAGGGATACTGAGCTGGTAGTGTAATCCAGCAGCCTCCCCTCCTAAGCATAGCTTTTAAAAATTGGGAGTTGGTGCTCAAGGGAGGGATTTGCTATGACCTCATAGAAACTTTTCCATTGTGGGCACTTATTCTCTCCTTACCCTCATAATCCTCAAAGTTCAGGCTGGTAGAAGACTAGAGGCTGGCCTTCCCAGACACCAGAGAGTTGGGAGCCCTGAATGCAACCAGTCTCTTGTTCTGATCTTACCTGTGAAAGAACAGAGGTTTCTCATGTGCCCTGACCCCTGGGAGTCTTTTTTCTTCCCCTCATGGTCTCACTTCAGTTCTTACCTAATGCTGGAGGAAGGGGATCTGGATGGGGGGGTGGTCAGACTCCCTTTATTTGTAAAGGGGCATGGGCTGAGATGTGGTCCCCAAGGGGCCGGCAATCCCCAAAATGGCTGAGGGTGGCTTAGAAGTGTGGGTTATGGTTTTCCTCGGAGCCCCTCCCCTTCTCTGCTAACCAAAATCCTGTACTCAGTCCCCCCATCCCGAAACGTAAGGAGGTATGAGAGCTTTGTGCTCTTCATGAAATCCCATAACAATGGGGTTTTTGCAGAGAAGGGAGGGTTCAGGGTAAACACAAGGACTGGACTTAGCTCCCTAGGTGCCACGGTCAGTTGCCGGATATGGATTTATATATAAATATATATATATAAATATATATATACCCACTCATCACGGCCATCTTTGTTGTAACCATTTCTGTGTTTATAAATGCATTATATCTCAGAATTTTCATATTGATGTTTTGTTTATTTTTGTCTTTTCCCACCCTGTCTTCTGGCCAGTGACATTTTTATTTTCTTTTGTCTTTTTTTTTTTTAAATCATGACAGATTTTAGAGAAAAGAGAAAATGAAAAAAAAGTCAAAATCAGTTGTTATAAAGCAATTTAAAATGAAGAAAAAACTTATGTACAAACCAAGGGGTGTTTTTAGAACCTTGTATAGAAATAAATTCATGTAAAAGGATCAGAGGCAGTGGAGCTGCTGATGTGAGCATGGGAAAAGCTATCTGGAGAGCTGTTCAAGGCGGGTACTAAGGATTTACACTAGAGTTTGTATATGTAAAGAATGAATGTTGTGTGATGAGACTCGGTGTTTGTTCCCAACCATAGAAGGGTACAGCTTTGAGATTTCTGAAGTGGAATATTGGTTGATAAGGATTTCTACATACAAATCTTGCCACGGGGACAGCATTGCCTGAATATGTGAGAGCAAGGTTCCAGTCATGTTAAAAGCACTAAGCTTATCAAAGAATTGTAGGCATGGCCTCTTGAAAGGACCTGTGCTCTTGCCTGAGCATCAGTGGGCTCAGTGGTAACTTTAGCTGACGTGTGTACGTACATGTATCTTCATTATACTGTGGCACCTAAAACAAGTTTCCCATAGTGGAAACAATAACCAGGATTGAATAACATTGCAGGACAGTTGTACAGAGGAGTAGAGGGCAGTCAGAAAACCTGGACATCAGCCCTGGCTCTACTATCAAACAGTGTTGGCTGAGATGCGTCTTCAGGTGTTAAATGAAGGGGTTGGGCTAGATCACCTCCAAGATTCCCTTTTGAGAATTAAGAAAAAGTTTAAGCACTGAAAAAGTTATGACAAAGCTCCCACATCTGATAACATGTCTATCCTCTGGGATTGCTGGGCCCAGTGCTCACCCAGTGGAGTGTGGACAGTCAATGCAGTAATGCCCCTTTGTGAGCATTATCCAAAAATCTCCATCTGTGGTATGGCACTAATGGAATACCACATGACCAAATATGCTGGTGTTTGTTAGCTTCCCGAATGTTCAGTGAATTTTCCCCCTGCCCTACCTTCATCACAGGTATTAAAACCAGAATCATTTTTTTCTTTTTTAAACATTTTAAAGTTTATTTTTAAAGGCAGGGAGAGAAACATAGATGGGCTGCGTGTTCCTGGGGACCTGGCCCACAACCCAAGCATATGCCCTGACTGGAAATTGAACCTGCCACCTTTTGGCTTGCAGGAGATTGTTCAACCCACTAAGCCACACCAGTCAGGGCTACTTTTTTTTTAAAATGGTATGCTCAACTCATCAACAACCCTGTGAAGTAGGTACTGTTCTCATTTTATAGGAAATAGGCATAGAACTTTACTTACCAAGGGATATGGCGCTTTAGAGGTGCCATAGCACAATAGAAGCTTAGGTTCTATTATCTTAATGCTTGCTCAGTATACGTGGGGTTTCACATATTTGTTCTAAATTATGTGTTTGAAAACCTGTACCATGTACCATTGATAATTATCAAGAATGTGTGTTAGGAGTGACAGTGCTCTCCAAAATACTGCCTTACACCATGGTTAGGTTATGAGCTTTGCGTTGTTTTACCGGTATGGTGACAATCTGTCATGCACTCGATGGTATCCATCCTGGTGAAAAGCATCGTTTTTACGGTACTGTAGCTGAGGAGGGGGACAGCGAGCATCTAACTGGCAGCAACTCTAGTTACACGCCCGTCCTTTCAGAATCCTGGTGCTAGTTCATGTCATATATAAACTCTAATAAAAAGGGAGACAAAAACATGAGGGGAAGGACAGAAGTACAATGTCATTTTATGCAAGAATATATTGAATGTAAAAGGATAAGAATGCTGACAAAAGGTGTGTAGAATTATACTTACTGTGAAGATTACAGATTTATAAGCAAAGATGATAAGCAATCTACTATTTCCATGTTAAAAAAAATAATCCTGGGGCGTTGGTGCTCCTGTAAGTGAACAGAAATGCCAATGGTTTAAATCTTACAACACTGCCTCCCCAACTTCCTTAAGAAACTAGCTACCTTACAGAAAGTCTTAATTCAGCTGGGATCAACTCTAGACATATTTATATTCGGTAAAAGAAAGATCCCTCAGTAGCTGAAAAGGGATGTTTATGGAATATAAACCAAGAGTCACGTTTTATCAAGGATTTTTACCTCATTACCGCACATTCCCGTTTTGGAGGGAAAAAAAAGTTTGATAGCGAATGCAAAATGGCGACCTCCACTGACGTCATGACTGCCGCGGTGGATCGCGTATGGGGGCTCCGTAAGGGCGGAAGTGGGCTCAACCCGCTTCAGGGCATCTCTACGGGAGGTCGTGGACACTTCCGCAAAAGGATAAGGGTCAATATCATTGGCGGATGTGGCCCTGGGAATAATTTACTAAGGGCGGAAGTTCTCATTTTAAGGGCAGAAAAGCCGTAACCCGAGAATAATAGCTTCAGCATCTGTCGCGTTTCAGCCACTTCCGGGGCGGATCGGAAGTTGCTTTGTTTTGCTTCAAGATGGCTGCGGGGATGTATTTGGAACATTATCTGGACAGTAAGAGAGGCTGGAGGAGGGGGTCAGGGGTCACAGAATGGTGGTGGTGGGGGGGTCGAGGCTGAAGAGATCTATGGCTCCAAAGTCCCGGTGGTTGGAAGGTTACAATTTTGAAGAGGTTCCGGGAAAGATAATATTGGAGGGTATAAAGAAAGAGGGGGCGGGGCAGCAGGATGAAGCCTCGCTTTTAGGGGTAGATGAGGGAGGGGCTGCGCGATGGGGCTCAGGGATGGTTGCTTGAAGGGCTTGATGGGCATCCCCGGGAAGATAGTTGCTGTTCCCACCTTTAGGATCTCCGTCTTTACTATATATATAACATACATATATTAGTGTGTGTGTATATGTGTGTGTGTGTGTGTGTGTGTATATACACACACACGTATATGTAATTAACATATGTAGTTTTTTCCCCCTCAAAATCATTCCAAATCGCTCATTTTAGTATGTCTCTCATTGCCATTTGGAGCAGTGACAGAGATCTCGCAGCTTCTCTGCTTATTCTTTCTCAGAAGCGGCTTCTCGTAATGATGGGGGCTTTTAAGTAACCACTGTCAAATCATAACTTGGAACGCTTCTCTTCTTGCAGTAATGATCCAGTTCCCTTCATATGGAAATCTGGTGTTTTGTTTTCTTTATGCCTCTTTACATAACCCAGCCCTTCACAAAGCCTGTCACCCTATGTGCTGACATTTGTCTTAGTGTTGGGAGTCATTCATTAATGCACTCATTCATTTATTGAGGGTCTGCTATATGTCAGACAGAACGACAGATGAGGATATAAAAACAAATAAGACATAGCCCTTGGACCCAAGTGCTCAGTCTAGTAGGAAACAGATTCTGCTAATAAATATAAAACAATTTGACAAGTGAAATACTAAAAATAGCTTAAAAAGACAATTGGTAACACTGGAGGTACAGAAGCTAAATTACCTGGGGATGTAGGTAAAGCATTACAGAGGATGTGATGTTTGAATAGAGTTTTGAAGGTTGAGTGTTTGCCAGTGTGGAAAGAGGGAACTACACGTTGGGGAAGGCATGAAAAAAGTATTACGATGGGTTCGGGGCAACCTCAGGGGAAAGTAAGGTCAGGATATTTGATGAATGGGAGTGAGACTGGAGAAAGAGGCTGGAGCTAGACAGTGCAAGGTCTTTTTTAAGTTTTTATTTTATTAGAGATTTCTGATTTCTTAAAAAAAAAAAAAAGACTATGTATTTATTTTTGAAGAGAGGCAAAGGGAGGGAGAAAGAGAGGGAGAGAAACATTAATCAGTTGCTTTTCACATACCCCAACTAGGGACCTGGCCCAAAACCCAGGAATGTACCTTGACCAGTGACCAAACTGGTGACCTCTCAGTTTGCAGGGTGATGCTCAATCTGCTGAGCTACATCAGCCAGGGCATTGCAAGGTCTTTTAAAGCCAAGCTAAGAAGCTTGCACTTTAGTGAGGAACCAACACATTTTTTAAATAGGATGATTTTTATAAAGGAAAATGACTGATGTGTGATAAATTGGAGCATGATAACCTTTGTAATAGATCAGTTAGTGATAACAGTCCAGCTCAGGATGAGGACCTTATCTCAGGGAATGACAGAAATTTGGAGGAGTTAAATATGACAGAACTGATTAAGTGGTTGAGACAGAAGGAAGGGTCTAAGGTGATTTATTGATTCCCTGTTTGGGAAGTGAGGTAGACAGTATGTCATCAATAAGATAAGAAATTCAGGAGTAACAGAAATATAGTTAATTCAACTTAAACTTAAGCATAGAAATGGTCATTATGCCCTGGCTGGTGTGGCTCAGTGGATTGTGCACAGGCCTGTGAATCAAGGGGTCACTGGTTCAGTTCTTGGTCAGGGCACATGCCTGGGTTGCGGGCCAGGTCCCCAGTGGGGGATGCACAAGAGGGAGCCACACATTGATGTTTCTCTCCTCTCTTTCTCCTTCCCTTCCCCTCTCTCTAAAAATAAATAAATAAAATATTTAAAAAAAAAAGAAATGGTAATTGTATCCACGAGAATGAATGAGATCGAGATCATTCAGAGAAAACAAGTGAGAAAATGAGAAGGTTAAAGAGTAATCTCAACAAAACATTCACATTGAAGGGAACATTGAAGGGACAGAGTATGGAAATGTTAATGTAGGAACTACCAGTAAGTATATGATGAGAATCCAAAGGGAAGAAAGTTACTCAAAGGAGAGAAGATGTCTCCAGCTGGACAGTAAGACTTACATTTTAGGATAGGACTGATAAGATCATTTGCTTTGATAAATCATTGGTGACAAAGTGATCTGAATAAACTGGTAGTAGCAGATGAGGTTGTAGGTTAAAGCAGTGGAAGCATTTTAAAATTTGAAGTGTAGTCATGCAAAGAAGGTTTTTCTTTTAATGGGAGGGACTTACGTATTCATGCATTTATTCAAGTATTTATTGAAGACCCTTGTATGCATATCACAGTTTTGAACACTAGAGAAATAGAAGAGAAGAAGACGGGCATGCCCCACTCTTCTGGAAGGCTGGGGAGACATACCAAAAATACTGTTAATTACACAATTATTTAATTATAGTTGGATAAGTGAAAAGAAGGGTAGAGACAGAATAACTTGACAGCAAATTCCAGGGCACTTATTGGAGTCTGGAAAAATCAGGGTTGAGCTAAACTTTGAAGAATAAACTGGAATTTAGTAGGCCAAGAGGTATGATGGAGGTGGGATGAGGAAGATCAGGTGGTGCCTTCTAGGCACAGAGAGCAGCATGTGGAAAGCCAAGTAGCAGGAAGATTGCTTTCAAGTTCCAGATGCTTAGAGAAGGCCAGTATAATCAGAGCAGACAGAGCACAAAGGGAGACTGACATGCATTACGGCTGGTGTGAGGTAAGCAAGGTCCAGAAAGTCCAGAACAAGACAAGAAATAGTGTTACAGGAGGTTACTGGAGGGTGGTAAGCAGGATAGTGATCTGTTTTGCATTTTTTATTTTAAAATCCTCACCTGAGGATTATGTTTATTGATTTAAGGGAGAGAAAGCAGCATCGATGTGAGAGAGAAACATCAAGCAGTTGTCTCCATATGCACCCTCACTGGGGATCAAGCCTGCAACCTAGCTATGTGCCCTGACTGGGGATCAAACCCATGACCTGTTTGGTGTATTGGACAATGTTCCAACCAACTGAGCCACCTGACCAGGGCCAGACTTGCATTTTTTTAAAAATATTCTGGCTACTATATGGAGTGCAGATTGGAAGTTCATATGCGATGAGTGGTGAAGGATACCAGAAGGATAATAGATAGGTTAGTTGTGAAGAGAAGCAGACACTGGCCCTTCTGAGGAAAGAATGATGACTGCTGTTACAGCTGCACTTGAAAAGCAACTATAAGGCCTATGAAGGCCAGTGAGTCTCAGTTACTCCTCTTCTCCCTAGGTATTGAAAACCTCCCCTTTGAACTGCAGAGAAACTTTCAGCTCATGAGGGACCTGGACCAAAGAACAGAGGGTATGTACAGAATAAGGAGTCCCATGTGTATATCGGGTGTATGTGGTCATTTCTTTTTCCATTTGGCGTTACTATATCATCTGATCTGATCTGGAGAACTTTGGCTTCTTTCTCTATTTTACTCTCTTGCATTTCTTGAAAGGAAAGTAGTGATGATCTGCATTTCGATATCATCTTTCCATAACAAATGGAGTATTGCAACAGTGCCTCAAGAATTCAGAGATGCTATGTTCTATATATCTTCCTCAAGAAGAATTCAACAAACCAAAGTCAACACTAGAGTCATGTCTGTTCTCCATGTTCAATATATTTGTAGGAAGGCTAGAATCCTTCTCTGGATTAACACTCCACTGGATTGTTAACATTACTGTCACCAAATTCAGCATGGCTTTAGACTGCACCTCACGCTGGTAGACAGGAACTTTGCTGTATGAGAAGTTCTTAGGAAAAAAAAAGAAGGAAAAGCAGCAATTAACATCAGGATCTCCATACTGTATTCTTCAGCCCTACAGCAGCACTAGATACCATCTGTGGCCTTCCTTGGAAGTTGAACAAGTTTGGCTGCATTGAGGCATTCACTTGGAGCCTGAGGCTGCACTGCAATGGTCAGGTTGGTCTCTTCAAAGTGAGAGATGTCTGTTGGAGCTATCCCCCATACCTGCTGAAGGATATGTAGGTCTTACCTTCCATCCTTATGAAACCATGCTCAAGACTGTAGTAAGCTGGTAATGGAATACCTAAAATTATGATTTAAGTTACTCTGGATGTGTTTACTCTTGAAAAGGAGATCACCTAAAACCCTGGACGTAGGCCCTTGAGAATTCAACTGTCTGCTGAATTCTGAGAACCAGCTTGCTTTCTTTGTAATACAGTTCCAACTCTTGAGTTTACGCACAGAAAGGCCAGTTGGAGATTATCAAACTACCTGCTTTCCCAGCTTCCTTCAAGGGGCTTGAAGAAGTGGAACATAAGCATAGTGTGCGCACAGTCCTTCCTGTCACTGCACTGTGATACAGTCACGCTTCTGTCTCTTTCTGTCAATGTGTTTTATGATCCCTACTAAGTACTAGGCAGTAGACATCTGTAGTCTGAGTGTCTTGGGACATTGCCAGCCTTCCAATGTTAAAATGTTTGGAGCAATATATAAGGTAGCAAACAGAAAAAAGTGCTGGAAGTTACCAGCAAATTGCAGATAATGAGCAAAATAGGGTGGGCAGTAAGTTGAAGAGTTATTCTGTCTCATTTTAAATGGTGAGTTACAGATGCAGAGCCAGCAGCAGTGGATGACCCAGCCTTGTTTACAGCACTCAGAGCTGCTGTGGGATGTTTTTGCCACACGAAACCAGGTGGCTTTTGAAACAAAATTCATCATTCAAGAAGCAGGAGCAAGCCTTGCAAAGAAGCATCTTTAGACAGCACAAAGTCATACTTTGTATTAGTGCAATGTGCAAAGGATCTATCATTATGTTTCAATAATTTAAGTTGCAACTATGATAGCAATGTTTTCAGCACCTGAAGGAAACTTTAAAACAAATATTTTTATATTACTTGAGTACATGGCACAATACCTATGAACATTCAGTACGTTTTAGTTCAGAGGTTGTCATGGTCAATGGAAAAGGTCCAAGCAACAAGAGGAAGAAACATATATCACCTAGCCACTCAGGGGCCATTGTGACCAGGCCTCTCTCTATTGTAGACCTGAAGGCTGAAATTGACAAGTTGGCCACTGAGTATATGAGTAGCGCCCGCAACCTGAGCTCCGAGGAAAAATTGGCCCTTCTCAAACAGATCCAGGAAGCCTATGGCAAGTGCAAGGAATTTGGTGATGACAAGGTGCAGCTTGCCATGCAGACCTATGAGATGGTATGGCCCTGTTCATGGCTCCCCACCTACCTCCCATCTATTCCTCAGGGTCCTAGACCCCTCCTTCAGCTGTGTTGGGATCTGTTTTGGGTCTGGGAGATCTATAGAATCTTACTTAACCAATCTTCTTTTACTGGCACTAACCTTGTACCTCTCCCTTCTTCCTTTCCACCCAGGTGGACAAACACATTCGGCGGCTGGACACAGACCTGGCCCGTTTTGAGGCTGATTTGAAGGAGAAACAAATTGAGTCAAGTGACTATGACAGCTCTTCCAGCAAAGGCAAAAAGAGTGAGGAGGAGGGCGGGCTGTGAGAAGCGGGTGGAGGAATCGGGAAGAAGAAGCCGATCTTCAGCTGTGAGGGAGGGGCACCAGGTTGGAAAGAGGGGGAAGCAGGAGGACTTAACCTGTCTTTCTCCCTGCCTTTTGGCTTTCCCCCTCATTCCTAGAAGGCCGGACTCAGAAGGAGAAAAAAGCTGCCCGTGCTCGTTCCAAAGGGAAAAACTCAGATGAAGAAGCCCCCAAGGCTGCTCAGAAGAAGTTAAAACTTGTGCGCACGTGAGTGTGTTGGGGATCACTTTGCCAGATGACACACTCTTCTTTCCCATGGCTGCACTCCCACCCCGCACTGCCCCTTGCCACTTTCTCCGTCTTCTGTGCCATATTTCCTCTCCTTACCATCTTGGTACCTGCTGGACAGAGAAGAGAAGCCCCAGATCATTTGCCCTACCAAGATCTCCTTCAGCCACCTCCGGGAGTCTCAAGTTTTAGCTTCCTTTTCTGCAGATGACACTTTCTCTTCCTCTTGGTATACAGAAGTCCTGAGTATGGGATGCCCTCAGTGACCTTTGGCAGTGTCCACCCCTCTGATGTGTTGGATATGCCTGTGGATCCCAACGAACCCACCTATTGCCTTTGTCACCAGGTTTCCTATGGAGAAATGATTGGCTGTGACAACCCTGATGTGAGAACCATTTTAACTAAGGATGGCAGGTTCTGGGGACATGAAGTAGAAATGAGATGTGGGGAGGGGGGAATGGTTGAATAGTGGGACTTCAGAGTAGGAGGAAGGTGACTGGAGTTGCTTGGGGCCTCAAGGAAATCTCCAAAGGGCTGGGATAAAAGAATACTCCTAAGGAATCTTGGGTGGGGGTGGGGATGACTCTTTTCCTTCCTCTGCCCCACCCTGGCCTCAGTTCTGCATCCTCTGTCTTTTCTAGTGTTCCATCGAGTGGTTCCACTTTGCCTGTGTGGGGCTGACAACCAAGCCTCGGGGGAAATGGTGAGTGAGAGAGCTGTGGTATGGGCTGGACTGCCCCTACACCGAATGGCAGAGGGCATTCTCCCTTTCACTCACTTTCTCTTTTCTCTGCTCTATCGAGTTGTTTATTTCTTTTTAGGTTTTGCCCACGCTGCTCCCAAGAACGGAAGAAGAAATAGATAAGGGCCTCAGATTCTAACACAGTTTCTTCCACATCTCCTGACCTGGGCTAGTGGGGAGAGGAGAGCCGGTGCTGGGGCCAGGGGTTTCAGGGAGAAGTGAATGGTGCAGTGTTGTCATCCCTTCTCCTGCCTTGTCTCCACTCCTGGTGCTGAGGCTGCACCCAAATCCCGTAGGGAGGGGTGCCGCAGCCACTAAGGGTAGTGCTCTCATTTGGCCCGCCCCCTTCAGAAGGAAGTGGTCTTACCCACTGTCCTTTTGCCTCCATGCTGAGGTTGGTGCTGTATTTCCAAGGGATGGTCCTCTTTATTCCCCTTGCTTTGTATTTAAGGACTGGGGCAGTAGCATGGGGGCACTCCCCCAACCCTCCTAATTCCCTCCACCCTGTGGTGGGGCTATGGTGTAATAAACTTTCATTGTTCTATTCCTGCTTTTTCCATGGAGGGGGCTCCCCTTCCTCTGTGCCAAGAGGATTCGCCCTGGCCTTGTGAATGGAAGAGAGGTCAAGGTGGAACACAGATAAGCCACGTGTAAAAGAACTTGGGTAGGTGAATAAAAGCTATACCTGTTGGCCTGCTGTGTTTTTATAGAGACACCATTTTAGTACATGTGCTTAGCACTTTTTTCCCATCCTTTGGGTTAGATAAGAGGTGGGAGGATGACATGTCAAAAGTCAGACAAACTTCCGCCAAGATGGAGGCATAGGTGGAAGCACTGCGCCTTCTCACACAACCAGATTTAAAAACAACAAAGTTTTAGCAACAGAAATGCAGGCAAACCACAGAAAATTGAACTACACGGAAGTCTGACAACAACGAACCCTTCAGCCAAACTGGTAAGAGGGGCAGAGCCAGCACCAGAGCGAGGTTGGGCAGGAAAGATTCACCGGACCAACCGGGGCGCTCGACCCAGGTGCGCCAGCAGCTGTGGGCAGATCCCAGGTGTGGAGAAGCGGACGGACCCACTGAGGGCTGACCACGGTCACACATTCGTGCACAGATAAACCAGTGAAGGAGCTAGCAGTGAGATGGACTGCACAGGCCCCAATGGTGAGAAGCGGCAGAGGGAACCGCTATTGCTCCCTCTCTGACCCCGTCCCCACATACAGCATTACAAACCAGCGACCTGGGTGGCCCCGCCCTGGTGAACAACTAAGGCTCTGCTCCTCATACGTAACAGGCACAAACAGATGAAAACATGGCTCAAGAACAACTCAGAGCCCCAGAGCTGATAAATCTAAGTGATGAAAAAATAGCTAAACTTTCAGATGCACAGTTCAAAACACTGGTGATCAGGATGCTCACAGAACTGGTTGATTTTACTCACAAATTAGAGGAACATATGGAAGCTAAACTGAAATGAAGGGAAATACACAGGAAACCAATAGTAAGGGAAAGGAAACTGGGACTCAAATTAAAGGAGTGGACCAGAAGGAGGAAAAACAGAAACAGTGGACCAAACAGAAAAGGATGAAGAAACAAGAATCCAAAAAAATGGGGAGAGGCTTAGGAACCTTCAGGACATCTTAAGACGTTCCAACATCTGAATTATAGGGGTACCAGAAGGGGAAGAGAACAGCCACGAGTGGAAAACTTATTTGAACAAATAATAAAGGAGAACTCCCCCGATCTAGCAAAGAAAATAGACTTCCAGGAAATGCAGGAAGCTCAGAGAGTCCCAAAGAAGTTGGACCCAAGAAGGAACACACCAAGGCACATCATCATTACATTAGCCAAGATTAAAATGAAGGAGAGAATCCTAGAAGCAGCAAGAGATAAGGGGACAATCACCTACAAAGCAGTTCCCATCAGACTGTCAGCAGATTTCTCAAAAGAGACCTTACAGGCAAGAAGGGGCTGGAAAGAAATATTCCAAGTCATGAAATCTAAAGACCTACAACCAAGATTGCTCTATCCAGCAAAACTTTCATTTAGAATGGAAGGACAGATAAGGTGCTTCTCAGATAAGATCAAATTCAAGGAGTTCATCATCACCAAGCCCTTATTATATGAAATGTTAAAGGGACTTACCTAAGAAAAAGAAGATAAAAAAGATGAACAGTGAAAGGACAGCAAACTCACAGTTATTAACAACCACACCTAAAACAAAAGCAAAGTAAGAGGACAGCTAGATCAGGAGCAGAAACAGAAATGAAGATCACATGGAGGATTAGCAACAAGGGAGTGGGAGAAGGAGAAGGGGGGAGAAGGTACAGAAAATAAGTAGCATAGACAGTAGGTAGAAAATAGATAGGGGGAGAGGGTAAGAATAGTATGGGAAATATAGAATCTAAAGAACTTGAGACACGTGGTCATAAACTAAAGGGGGGAATGGTGGGTGAGGGGGTGTGCAGGTTGGAGGGTAATGAAGGGAGGAAATAGAACAACTGTAATGGCATAATTAATAAAATATATTTTTTTAAAAAGACAAGACATGGAACCAGAAGTGCACTAGAACCCCCAACTTCTCAGTTTGGGAAGGACAAAGCTGGCTGGTGGGGTTGGCATGCCTCAGACCAAGGGCCTCCAAAACTTTTAAAATTGTACATCTTTTCTCCATAAAACATCTTCCACTTAATTTCCAATAAGTGTGTTTTATCCATGTACTATTATAGTAAATATTGGCTTGATTTCTTATTTAAACGCAAACCAGAAAAACCCTACACCTGTGGATTGTCTTGCTCACCTCCCACTGGGAAACCACTTCCCTAGACTGAGCCATGTTTACACCTGAACTCCCCTGGTCGTTTCCCCTTTTGGCTCATTTCTTACCCGGACGATTCCTCTCTGGTTCCTACCTAGGTAGGCCCTGACTTTGTTTTGTATATTCCATGTTTGTCCCTTGCCCCAGAGTCCTGCCTGTACTCACATCTAGGCCTCACTACCTGTTGGGCAGTTTGTTTCTTCAAAGCCAGTTTCCTCATCTGCAAAATAGGGATAATAATAATACCCAATATGGGATTCCCTTGGAAAAGAAGTAAGGTGATGCACGTGGAAAATAACACATAGCCTACTCCATCAAAGGTAATCAAAAGCTTCCAACAAAAGTCATGGACTGGGTTGCTTCAAAGATAAATTTTACCAAACATTCAAAGAACTAACACCTGTAATTCTCAAACTATTCCAAAAAAGAGGAGGCAGGACTCCCAAGCTTGTTTTATGAGGCCAGCATTATCCTAATTCCTAAAACAGATAAAGACACTACAAAATAAGAAAATCATAGGCCAATATCCCTGACGAACATAGATGCAAAAATTCTCAAAATATTAGCAAACCGGATCCAGCAATACAGTAAAATGATCACACACCATGATCAAGTGGGGTTTATTTTGGGGATGCAAACTTGGTACAATATCTGCAAATTAATTAACATACATCACATGAAATGAAGGGTAATGACCACGTGATCATATTAATAGATGCAGAAAAAGCATTTGATAATCTAGCACCTATTTATGATTAAAAACTCAGCAACATGATAAGCCCATAGCCAACATAATAATGGGCAAAAGCTAAATGAGTTTCCCTTAAGATCAGGAACAAGATGAGGATGTTTGCTTTCACCATCCTTATTCAACACAGTACTGGAAGTCCTAGCCACAGCGATCACTCAAGAAGTAAAAGGCATCCAAACTGGAAATGAGTCTGTGTATAGAGAACTCATTTCCACATGAGTCTCTATATAGAGAACCCTAAAGATCCCACCAAAACTATTAGAACTGATAAGTGAATTCAGTAAAGTAGCAGGATACAACATAAATATCCAGAAATGGGTTGCATTTTTATTCATGAATAATAAACTATTAGGGAAACTAAGAAAACAATCCCATTTACAGTTGTACCAAAAATTATATATATATATATATATATATATATATATATATATATATATATATGAATAAATTTAACTGGAGGTGTAAAAGACCTATACTTGAAATTATAAGACACTGAAAAAATTGAAGATACAAGTAAGTGGAAGCATATACTGTGTTCATGGGTAGGAGGAATTAACATTAAAATGTCCTTACTACCCCAAATAATTTGATGTAATTTCTATCATGATACCAGTGACATTTCACAGAACTGGCTGGCATGGCTCAGTAGACTGAGTGCCGGACTGCAAACCAAAGGGTCACTGGTTCAATTCCCAGTCAGCATACATGCCTGGGTTGCCAGCCAGAACCTCAGTTGGGGATGTGCGAGAGGTGACAACAGCACATTGATCTCTCCCTCTCTTTCTCCCTCCCTTTCTCTAAAAATAAGTAAAATCTTTTTAAAAATATTCCAAATTTAGGCCCTGCCTGGTGTAGCTCAATGGATTGAGCATGGGCCTGCGAACCAAAAGATCGCAGTTCAATTTCCCTTCAGGGCACATGCCTGGGTTGCAGACCAGTTCCCAGCAGGGGCCAGTTCCCAGCAGGGGATGCACCAGAAGCAACCATACATTGATATTTCTCTCCTTCTCTCCTTCCCTTCTAAAGATAAATTAAATTTAAAAAAATAAAACATAAAATATTCCAAATTTATATGAAGCCAAAAAAAGACCCTGAATAGCAACAGATATCAAACAATACTACAAGGCCATAACAATCATAGTAATGGCATAAAAACAGACATATAGATCAATAGAAAATAGAGAACCCAGAAATAAACCCATGCTTTTATGGTCAATATTTGACAAAAGAGGCAAGAACATACAATGGGGTACAGATAGTCTATTCGGAAAATGGTGTTGGGAAAATTGAACAGATACATGCAAAACCAAAAGAGACTAACCATCTTACACCACGCAGAAGAAGAAATTCAAAATGGATTAAAGCCTTAAATGTAAAACTCAAAACCATACAAATCCTAGAAGAAAACAGCCAGTAAAATCTCAGACACTTCATGTAGCAATATTTTTTTTCTGATATACCTCCTCAGACAAGGGAAACAAAAGAAAAACAAATGGAACTACATCAAACTAAAAACTTTTTTGCACAGAAAAGGAAACCATCAACAAAATGAAAAGACAATGGGCGAACATTTTTGTCAATGATACATTTGATAAGTGGTTAATATCCAAAATTTATAAAGGAGTTATGCAACTCAACACCCCAAAATACCCTAATCCAATTAAAAAATGGGCAAAGGACCTGAAGAGACACTTCTCCAAAAAGGACACACAGATGGCCAATAAACATGAAAAGATACTCAATGTCACTAAGCATCAGAGAAATGAAAAATTATAACAACATGAGATATCACCTCACACCTGTCAGAATGGCTGTCCTCAATAAATTAACAAACAATAAGTGTTTATGGAGAAAAAGGAGCCCTTGCTCACTGTTGGTGGGAATGCAGATTGCTGCAGCTACTGTGGAAACAATTAAAAATGGAACTGCCTTATGACCCAGCAATTCCACTTCTTGGAATATATCTGAAAAAACCCAAAACACTAATTTGAAAGAATATATGCATCCCTGTATTCATTGCAGTGTTATTTGCAATAATGAAGATTTGGAAGTAGCCCAAGTGCCCATCAGTAAATGAGTGGATAAAAAAGATTTGGTACATTTAAACAATGGAATACTACTGGGCCAAAAAAGAAGAAGAAGAAGAAGAAGGAAATATTACCTTTTGAAACGGCATGGATGGGCCTGGAGAGTGTTATGCTAAATGAAATAAGCCTGTCACAGAAAGACAAGTATGATATGATTTCACTCACATGTGGAATCTAACGAACAAAACAAAGATAGACTCATAGAACAGAGAACAGACAGCTGTGACAAGGGAGGAGGATGGTGGAAAAAGGGAAGGGATTAAGAAAAAAACTTGACAACGGTATGTGATCACAACAGCAAAAGTTGGGTGGGGGTAGAAGAGGGTAAAGGGTAGATAAATGGAAAGGTGAACACAGTACAATATACAGGTGATATATAATTATACACTTGAAGCCTATATAATTTTATTAACCTATGTCAACCCAATAAATTCAATCAAAATTTTAAAAAGATATTTGAGAAAATATATAAAACCTAGTTTCCCTCAAGACCAAGATAAGCAGTCTCTCTAAGGCATTAGAACTCAACAGCCTGTCCAGCTTCATTTGTTCATCCCATTGCCATTTACTGAACGCCAGCCATGTGTCCGAAGAATAAGATCCGTCACCTTTGCCATCCCAAATCCCACAGTCCAGGAAGGAAAGTCAACATGTAAACAAAAAAGTGCAATAATATGTTGGTAGTAGTGCAATAAAAGTGAAAATAAAATCTATAGGAACATGAAGGAGAACGTGATCCTTTATTAATGTTCCTGGAGACATTTATGTTCACTCCTTTGGACAGGGGTCTCTTTTATTCACTGATATATCTGATACCTAAAAGAAAATGCCGAGCATTCATAGTTAGTAGGTACCTAGTAAATATTTGGTTTTTGTGCTTAAAAAAAAAAAAAGGAACAGCGTCGAGGATACCACCGCCGAGCTGGACTGGCGGCGCGGACCCCCGCGTCGGTTTCCGAGGCCCCGCCCCGCCCTCTGTGACGTCGGCGGCCCCTTCTGGTCCGCGGAGGTCGCCCGCCCCCGCCGGCTCTCTCCGGCTCGGCCGTTGGAAGCCGCTTCGGTCCGGGCGACGCAGGCGGTCCGCGTCGGTCCGTCTGGGGCCATGAGGAAGCTCGCTGCTGGCTTCCTTCTCTCACTCCTGAAGGGTGAGAGATTCGCACCCGCTCGGTGTCCCCGCCGCCCCCGCCCCGCCCCGGCTCGCCCCGGCTGGGTCCTCTGCCTCGAGAAACCGCCCCCTACCGTTTCGGAAAGGTTTCTCGGGGTGGCCGCGACGGGCCTGATCCCTGGCTTCGGACTTGAACTCCTCCCGGACCTCCTCCAGGCTCGCCTTCGTCTCTGTCCCTGGCGTCCCAACCGGCCAACACTCTCGTGCCTGATCTACTCGAGGCCCCGCTGGCCGGTCTGGGCTGGTCCCGGGCGCCGGGAGCCGGTTTTGGAGCTCGGTCTCTCCATCTGTCCGTTCCCCGCCCCGCAGTGCTGTTCTCGCCTTCGTCGGCTGCCCCAGCCCAGGATTCAGTTTTGACGTCCACTCCCGGCAGCCCTCTCTCGACCACCGAATATGAACACTTCTTCGCACTACTGACCCCTACCTGGAAAGCAGAGACCACCTGCCGTCTCCGTGCAACCCATGGCTGCCGGAACCCCACCCTCGTCCAGCTGGACCAATATGAGAATCACGGCTTGGTGCCAGATGGTGAGGGCCCACCTAGCGGGGCAGCTCTGTACTCGCTGGAGACGGGAAGGGTATGGCTGGCCTCTTAGGCAGCACCCATACTTTCCACTCTCCAGACCCAGTGCTCCCAGTACCCCCCGGGAGGGAGCTCCCCCTTGTGTGTTCACCTTCTCCACCCCTGCCCCTTCTTAGGCGCTGTTTGCTCCGACCTCCCCTATGCCTCCTGGTTTGAGTCCTTCTGCCAGTTTACTCAGTACCGTTGCTCCAACCACATCTACTATGCAAAGGTGAGGCCCAGGAAAAGGTGAATCTGGTGTCCAGGACAAAGGCAGAGGCAGTGGCTGTAAGGAGCCAAGGAAGGGCTCCAGGAGGACCATCCTTAGATCCTCCCTCCCTGCCACTTTGCCAGTCATTTACTCGGGTCGTGTATGCGTACAGCCTCGCCTTGGGCATTCGGACTATCAGAACACTTCTGTTCCCACAAGGAGAGGAGGGAAGGGGCCAAGAGATAACCCCTTCCCTGTCTTCTGTCAGTGCTTTCACTCAAATCAAATGCTAAAGACTGAAGGCAGGGTTGTGGCCAAGACCCGGAGTTTTATCTTGCAAGAATACTTTCTCAGGGCCACCACAGATCATATCACCTCATCCTGCCCAGGAACTGTGAGAGAAGAGGCATGCTGGAAAAGCATAAATTGAAGTAAAAGTCCACCCTTCAGGAAAGGCATCCCCACATTTCTTCTCTTCTTGCAGAGAGTCCGATGCTCCCAGCCAGTCTCAATTCTCTCATCCAACACTGTCAAGGAGATAGACTCTTCCACTGAAGCCCAGCCCAGCACGATGACCTCCCCCATGTCATCCCACATCACAGGTGAGGCCCTCCCAGCACCTGGGAGACTACCAGCAACTCCTTTCATAACTCCCAGAGAGCCCAGGGTTTAAGGAATCAGTGGTAGAGAAATGGGAAGAATGTTGAGCGAGGGTGGGAGGTATGGACACTCAGCTCCTTTTAAGTAAGGGAGGGCCTGTTTTTTAGGAAGTTAGAACTTTCCTGTCCCAGAATATCTTCTGGCATGACTTAGGAGTCATTTTTTATAGCTCCCCCAAACATTCCTGTGGTTCGAAGTTTTCTGGGACTTCTGTAAGATAACATTTTCAGTCTAGAAAGGATTAGTTGCTAGCTATTCAGAGTACATGCTGCTTCCTAAGTGAGAGGAACAACAGGTGGTATTTGAGGTGGTGGTTAGGGAAAAGGAGCGCTTGAAAGGGAGGTGGAAAGGCGACGTACCACCAGGACCACAATCGCCATGGTAATAATATTTTGATATTTGTATTCCTCTGTGTCTTCTGTACTTGAATGTGTGAATAACTATGACTTAGGCTGTTTTCTTTCTCCTTGGAGCTTATACGTGTGTCCCTCTGTGAACAAAGACCCTCATAGTTCAGAAAGTTAACCGTCCCTTTTCTTCTCTGTCTCGGTGCCTCCCAAACCCTGCTGCAGCCACAGAACGGCAAGCGTTCCAGCCCTGGCCCGAGCTGCTCAACCACAACGTGGAAGAGCTGCTGCAGGCCTCCATGTCCCTGGGAGGCCCAGAGCAAGGGTCAGAGCACAAGCAGGATCAGGGGCAGGAGCACAAAGCAGAGCCAAAACAAGAACATAAACAGGAGGGAGGGCAGGAGCAAGAGGAAGAAGAAGAGGAGGAGGAAGAGGAGGAGGAGGAGGAAGAAGAGGAAGAGGAAGAGGAGAAGGAGAAGGATGGACAAGGAACCGAGGATGGACTGCGGGCCATGTCTGGACTGCAGACAGACTCAGAGCCCAAGCTCCAGGCCGATTCTTTATTTTCCAACCCTTTCTCCTTCACTGCCCGGGTGCGGGAAGCTAAGTCTACGCCTATGATGATGGAGAACATCCGGGAGCTCATTCGATCTCCCTCGGAAATGGAAGAAATAAGTGATATGTATGATGAAGACTCTGCTTGGAGAAGCCAAAGCGCTGGCAGGTACAGGAAGTTCTGGCTCCCCTACTGGCCCTGCCCTTCCTGCTGCCTTCTTTGGGAATGAGAAGCCCACTTCCCAACTCTGGCCCGCAGACCCACTCTGACCTGAGTGGGCTTCAGGTGCACCTAGCAACTGCCTGCCTCACCTGTTCTGTGGCCATCAGGGATTTAAATCCTACCTGTTTCCTACATGACATACTGAAATGAGCCCTGTACCTGGAGCTACCAGCCTTGGGTTCCGGTCTTGTCTCTCGCTTTAATGAGCATTGCAACTTTGAGGAAATTACTTCCCCTTTTCTGGACCTCCGTTCCTCATTTTTGAAAGGAAGCAGTTGGTCCAGAGGTCTCTAAGGCCCCATCCAGTATGCTGAATGTATGTGAGAGGAGGGGAAGAGAATGGATGAGGCTTTCTGTCCCAGCCTTCTGGCCCATCTGCACCAACCAGGGGTGTCTCCTTGCAGCCTCTTGCAGCTGCCCCATGTGGAAGCCTTACTGGTGATGTGCTATTCCATTGTGGAGAACATCTGCATCATGACCCCCACAGCCAAGGCCTGGCGGCACTTGGAGGATGAAACCCTTGGCTTCGGGAGGAAGGTAGGCCCACCATGCTCTTTTGATGGACACGTGCTCACTGAGCACCCCCTGGGCCTGGTGCTGCACTACTAGGCCTTGGGGGTGGGGCATGGGCAAGGTACAGAAAGCATGAGGCATTGGTGGACATGCTCTCTTCACCTGAGTGGGAATCCCTTCTTTAGGAGGACGTTTCCATGCCCTGGCTGGTGCAGCTCAGAGGATTGAGTGCTGGCCTGCAAACTGAAAGGTTGCAGGTTCGATTCCCAGTCAGGACACATGCCTGGGTTTCAGGCCAGGTCCCCAGTTGGGGGCATGTGAGAGGCAGCTGATCGATGTTTCTCTCACATTGATGTTTGTCTCCCTCTCTTTCCCTCTCTCTAACAATAAATAAATAAAATTGTAAAAAGGAAAAAAGGACATCTCCAGCTCACCTTGAAGGAGGAAGGCTCAAGACTAGTCTGGAATCCATTCCAATCCTGAATTCATTCCTCAGCTCTCTGAGTTGTTAGGCCTGGCTTACCTCCTGCGCCAGTTCACCATCTTCAATGCTTGGACCTGAGATGCAGCTTTCCTGTTCCAGGGATCTGTAGAGATATTCCAGTTTCAGGGTATCCTCAGCACCCAGCAGATCCTATTCCAAGGAAACTATCCTTTAGGTTTTCAAATAATACAAGTTAGCAAGTGCTGGTATGCTACCCATTCACCTATTTGTTCAAAAAATAGCAACTCTTTACCTAATATTTGAGATATTAGCCATGACTATGATAGATCGAATCATCTTGGAGCTCTGGAAGCTTAGTGGGAGAGATAGATGCAGAAACAGGCAGAACCATGCGACAGGATAAAGGCCATGGCGATAAGTATAAAGGCAGAGAGAGTGGAAGGGGACAGCTGTCTGTTCTGGAGGATCAGAGAATGCCTAGACAAACAGAGAACCTCTTAGGAGAGAAGTTGACCAAGCAAAAGAAGGGACTTGGTAGAAGTTTCCTACCAGAAGGAATAGCATGTGCAAAGGCTGTGAGGCAGGGAAGAGATTTCATGAGGGACCAACAATGAGCACATTGCTCCTGCCCTTAAAGGGCCTTTGGTCCACAAGGGGTGGGCCGTAATGCAGTGGCATCACCAAAGGGATATGGTAGGTATCAAAGAGAGGTTTATAAGAGCAGGAAGTTCAGGAGTCATGGGGAGCCCATAGGAGTTTAGGGCTTGGTTAAGGGAACAGTAAGGAGTTCATTTTGCCTGGAGCAAAGCAGTAGAGAGAGTCAAACAGATAGTGAGGGTCATAATGTGAAACATCACAAATGGCAGTCTGAAGCATTTGTATTTCATTTGGTAGGAAAAGGAATTTAGTAACCACTTCTGAACAGGGACACGGCAGTGCCTCCCTTAGGCGCTGTCGTAGGAGCAAACAAGGTGACGTGGGAGATTCTGTGCACTGCGCGGTGCCGTGCTCATGGGTGAAGCAGGAGGAGGATGGGAGTGACTGCAGACCCTCCTGAGAAGGCTGAGGGAGCTCAGTCAGGGCAAAGAGTCCAGCTAGGAGGCCGTCATCCAGGAACTTGAAGGTTTTGAACCCAGGTGCTCGGGTAGCTACAGGGTTTGAAGTTGGAAGAACTGAATCTAATCCCAGCTCCACCATCTATTAAGACATTTGGGTTTGAGCAACTTAGCCTCACTGAGCTTGTTCTCTATCAGCCAAGTGGAGATATTATTAGTACCTATGCTAGTGTAGGACTCCTATGAGGATTAAATGAGATGTAGCATTTATAGCTACATGGTTCTTAGCCTTGTATCAGGTCTTTGTAAATGTTAGCATTATCATCAGCAGGGAGAGAGAGAGAGAGAGAGAGAGAGAGAGAGAGAGAGAGAAAGTTAGGACCTATTCAAATAGTCTAAGTTAGAGGTGGTTGTAGGTCACTGGGTCCCATGGTGTATATCTATCAGGCACTTGACAACTGAAGATTGGGAGTTTGGGAAAGAGATCAGAACCGATGATAAAGATCGGTGTCACCTGCAGAGAGACACTGATGACCTGGGAGTAGATAAATTGTCCAGGAAGAGGATGAAGAAAGAGAAAGCTGAGATGAGGTCCTTGTGGAACCTTAGGGAAGGGGTGGGGAGAGAAGCCAGAGAAGTCTTTGGAAGAGCCTGAATACAAAGACAGCTCTGGAGGGCTGAGGAGTGGGACGGGTCTCAACCTCAGCCCCTTAACTACACTCCTGTCCTAGGTCTGTGACAGCCTTGGACGGTACCACGTACCTATGTGTCCCCTCTGTGACTTCTGCTCCCTGAAGCTGGAGCAGTGCCAGTCAGAGGGTAACCTGCAGCGGCAGCACTGTGACAGCTCCCACAAAACACCCTTCCTGAGCCTTTTCCTCTCATCGCAGAGCATGTCCATTGGCATCCAGGTACCTAGCTAGCTGGGCAGCCTGCAGTGTGGGAGGCCTCCGGCTCTAGGCAGATCTGGGTACCTGGAAGGGAGGCCTACAGGGGAAACAGAGACGCACACTTCTCCCCTGTCCACTGCGCCACAGGTGGGGACTGTAAGATCGGGACGCTATTATGGGCTGGATTTTTACGGTGGGCTCCGCATGGACTTCTGGTGTGCCCGGCTAGCTACAAAGGGCTGTGATGATCATCGAGTCACTGGCTGGCTCCAGACTGAGTTCCTCAGCTTCCAGGACGGGGATTTCCCTACCAAGGTCAGAGCCTTTCCCCAAAGCTGAGCCCCACCTCACTCACTCCAGTTTCTTCCAGTTACTTACTCCAGGCAACCCTAGGATGTGGAAGGGGCCTCTAGCTTGAGAACCAGTCCTCACTGAACCTGCTGCCTGTCTCCAATAGACTCCCCCACACGCACACAAACACAATAGAACAGGATTGTGTTGTCAAAGAAGTAGGAATTGGAAAAGGTAGGGGAGCATAGGACTGGGTGGCAAGAGACAGAGGTATTTCTGGTCCCAGCTTGGCCAGTTATTTCCAAGGGACTTTGGCCGGGTCACTTCTCAGAGGAGGTTGGGTGTGCTCAGGGTAGTATGGCTGTAGACTGGTCAGGTCACTTCTCAGTGTAGGCCAAAGTTACACTCATCTCTACAACAAATGATTCAGTGATGCCTGAGAGGCCGCCCCTCTCCCCACCATCCAGTACTTCCCTCCCTCAGTCTGACATTTTCCTTCCCTAACTCTTCCAGTGCTTTCCCTGCTCAGTGGTATCATTGTTACCCCTCTCTCCAAAGTCACCTCCTCTGTGGAACTGCCTGTTGCACCTGAGCGCCAGTCCCCCCTGTCTGTGGTTTAATAGGGAAAATCAAGACAAGGAAAAGTAGAGGAACTAAGAAAGGGCTGGTCACTGAGTGGAGGGGCCCCTGCCCGGATCTTATCTCTGGGCCCCTAGATCTGGAAGGGGTCTCAGAAATCACCTCTCTGTTCCCCTGAATTTATAGATGGGAGACAAGTTCCACCGAGGGAAGTGATTCACCCAAGGTCACACATTCCACCCTCCCTCTCACTCACCCATCACTAGAAGTCTCCCAGAGGTGGACCAGGGCATGAAGGCCCAGTTCTGCACCCTTAGTGCCCCCCCTGCCCCACTCCCCATTCCTCAGCCACTTTTCCAGCAAGCTGAATAGCAGGACAGCCATTTCCTACTCTGGCTCCTTGCTTCTTCCTGCCTGAGGGTGGGACAGGAAAGGCAGAGGGAACAAAGGCTTTTTCCTTGGAGAGGGGGTACCCAGCTGTGGAAGGTCTGGTGCTCAAGGACCACACCCCTGCCCCTGGTTCTGCCACTTCCGGCACTAATATCTCCCTGCCTGCCCATCCCTGGCTCCTGGTTTAGATTTGTGACACAGACTACGTGCAGTACCCGAACTACTGTGCCTTCAAAAGCCAACAGTGTCTGATGAGAAACCGGGAAAAGAAGGTGAGCCCCTCACCATGGCCCTCCTCTTCCCATCAGCCCCTCAATCAGTCACCTTGGTTGGGTGTCCCTTCTGGGTCACACCACCTCCCCTGTCCAAAACAGCAGGGATGTGGAGAGCAGTTTCTCATTTGCCTCTCAGAGCAGAGGCCTCTGTCAGAGCACTCACTGTCCTCCTCTCGTCAGAGCACTCACTCTCCTGCTCCCTCAGAGCACTCACTGTCCTCCGCTCCGTCAGAGCACTCACTGTCCTCCGCTGCGTCAGAGCACTCACTCTCCTGCTCCCTCAGAGCACTCACTCTCCTGCTCCCTCAGAGCACTCACTCTCCTGCTCCCTCAGAGCACTCACTGTCCTCCGCTGCGTCAGAGCACTCACTGTCCTCCGCTCCGTCAGAGCACTCTCCTCCTCTGGTCAGAGCACTCACTCTCCTGCGCTCCCTCAGAGCACTCACTGTCCTCCGCTCCGTCAGAGCACTCACTCTCCTGCTCCGTCAGAGCACTCACTGTCCTCCTCTGCGTCAGAGCACTCACTCTCCTCCTCTGGTCAGAGCACTCACTCTCCTGCTCCCTCAGAGCACTCACTCTCCTGCTCCCTCAGAGCACTCACTGTCCTCCGCTCCGCAGTCTTAGAGTACGTGGCCCCCCTGCCCCCCACCCTACCAAAGGGGGCTGAGGACAGCGATGCCGCAGATGAGAGGTGAGGGCCCTGGAGGGCACCACAGGAAGAACCCCAGCTGGGGTGGGAATGGGAGGCTGAGGCGGCAGTGTTGCCTTCCTGCTCTTACTCACCAAGACAAGAAGTCTGGTATAAGTCACTTCCTCCCCCAGGCCCAGCCTCTTGATTTCTGAAAGGAGGGGGTTGGGCTGCTTGGTGTCTCTCGCAGCTTGAAAAATCCACATCTGTTTCCCCCTTCCCTCTGCTGCCCTGTGCCCATGCCTTCCAGTCTCTAGTTCTTGTGGGACTTCTGACATCCCCCCACCTCCATGCCTCTGGCTCTTTGCTCTGTAACTCGGACTGTGTGTGCCCAATCCCGGTGTAGGTGTCCCGGATGAGATGTCTGCAGAACGAGAGTTACAGTGTCTTGTCCCCAGCCAAAAGCGAGGAGCTGGTGCTTCGATGGAGCCAGGAGTTTAGCACCTTGACTCTTGGCCAAGCCGGATGAGCTGGAGTTTGTCCTGTCTCCACCCCACCTGACCTGTTTGCATATTCCATTACTTTTAGACCCCATTTGTCATCAGTTTGCCTCCAGGCTGCCCCTTTTGGGTCTCTTACCTGGTCCCTCCTTACTGGTTTCCTTGGGTTGGGTCAGCAGTCCTGCGGAGGTCTGCGATGGGAACTCCACCCTCTTTAAAGAATGTCTTTGCATAAAGTGTTTATTTTCAACCTGTGTGACCTATTTGGGTTATGATCCCATCCTCAGCACTGCCACAGTGCCCCATGGGAATCAACTCTCCACCCTTCCCGCACCCCAGGGCTTATGGATCCGTCTGCAGGTGAGATGATTTCATGGGAATGAAATTGTCAGGCAAGCAGCCATCTGCTGGGAGAAGAAACCCTAAGAGATCAGGGATCGGGGAGTTGGATTGAAGAAGGACTCAGCTGGGGCCAAGGGGCCCTGTGGGCCAGGAGGGTGTATGTGTCTTCATCTCTGAGGCCCTGGGCCCCAGGAGCTCAGATGTGAGTGTAGAATTGTCCCTCTGGACAGTGAAGGCCAAAGCCCGACTGAGGTCATGCCCCGGGGCACCAGTACCAGGGAAAGAGGGCAGGACTTGCCCTTTATCAAGAAGATGGAAAAAGCTGGGGCCTGGAGCTCAGGAAACCCTTGATTTGACATCCAGTTAGGGGCGATAGCCTGAACATTGAGGCGATTGTGTCTTGACAACATACATTGAGATGTGACTTCAATATTGGCCTTTAATAACTTGGGATCTCCCAGAGTGTATTCTGGGGACACATATGTTTGGGAATCTGTACAGTCTTTCTCTCTTTATAGATTCGTGGTGATCAACATTTTAAAAAAACTTATGGAAAAGTTAAAGCACACACAAAAATAGAACAGTGTAATGCAACCGCATGCAGCCTGTACCCCGCTCCAGTTATCAGCGCACGGCCAGTCTTTTGAAGCGCCGTAATAGTTTTCTGTTTCAGCAGACATGTTTCAAACTCCTTTAACAACACTATTTTTTTTTAACTTACCACTCAAAAACTTGAACTTGCTTTTGTGTGTTGAGCAAGGACCACAAGCCCACCCTTGTTGACACAGAAGATGAAGGGCTTGGTCCAGGAGTACAGAACAGCAGGGCTGCCATCTGAGCTCTCTGTGAGCCCAGTGCCCCAACCCCCAGCTCGCAGCCTAGGGAAGAGAGAGGAGCCAGGAGGTAAGTGCTGTGATGGAGAGGCTGCGCAGGCTTTGCAGGGAGAGTGGGCACAGCAGCAGCCCTGGTGTGCAGCAGGGCACTAGGCAGGGTGAGGTGTAAAGCTAGGAGTGGCAAGACCAAAATCACCTGAGGGACCTAAAAGAGAGACACCCAGGGGGAACTGGTGAGGAAATGGTGAGGCTGGTGGGTTAGTCATCACTTTAGTGGGTGGGTGTGCCTGTTAAGGTTCCCAGAAACTGTGGGGAGTGTGTGAGCAATGGGCGGGAGGAATCATTAGTGGGGCCAGAGTTGGGGCTGGATTAAGTGCCATTATCTGCTGGGGTTTCTTCTCTGGCCAGTCTGTGAAGACCGCTGAGGGTAACTGCTTCCTCCTTTCCCCTTGCGCTTGTGGGGCTGGGTGAGTGCAAGGAGCTGGAATCTGCTGAGATCTGCCCAGGCGGGTGTGTCTGCACCCGTCCCAGGAGCAGGTCCTTCCAGCCCAGCCCAGAACAGGCAGCAGAAGCCAGCTTGGGGCTGCGGCAGAGCTCAACGGGGACACAGGTATGGGGGCACAAGGGGCAGTACCCCTCTTTTAGAAATGAGGGACCTAGGTGGGGATGGAGGTGAGGGTGGGCCATGGGTCCTGGAAAATCTTTGTGAATAGTGTAAAAGCTACAAGGGGCTGCCTCAGGTAGAAGGACTTTACCAGACAGCGGTCACACCTGGGAATGCCCCTCTTAAGCTTGAAGCACTACACTGGGGCGCCTCTGGAGGCTGTGTGCTCCCCTTCACTCTTTAGGCCCCACTGTCATGCTGAGCCCTGGGCTTCCCAAGGCCACCGTGGAGGATCCTCTGGAGATGATTTTCAGCCTTTCCTTACTCTCAATTAATGCTTAACACCCCCCCCCCCCATAGCCACTCGCCTCCCAGGGCCAGGCCCTCTGCTAGACGACAGTGAACGTATCTGATGAAACACCATGAATGGGCTCACTGGTACAAATGTGTTCTTATGGTGGTTCTCCTAGTATGTTCATCTATATAAGAGGATTTGACTTAGACAAGGTGATTTCTAATGTCCCTGTAGCTCTGGTAGAATGTGGCTCCTGGGTGATAAGAGGCAGATGACATTTCAGATATTGAGCACAGGGGGGTTATTTGAGGATGGGCAAGGCCTTGTGTACCTTTGCATCACACCAATGAGGATGGCTCCCTATCACCTATGTTGGTTGGGGGCTTCCCTGAAAGAAGGGGACCTCCTACCTGATTGTACGTCGAGTGGAAATTGTAGCTCTAAGGGGAGACGGAGGCAGGGATTGAGGGGGAAACAGAAACTTGGACCTCCAACCCTCACTTCTTGGCCACTCAGAGACACTGGAGTCCAATTCTGTCTGTCTGTGTCTGATGCCGTCAGCTCTCCCCACCTTGCTGCCCCCAGCACATGCTGCAAAATGGAAGCCTTGTGTGCCCAGGCCCACAGGGAAGGAGACAGCGGAAGGGTGAGGGCAGAAGCCAGCAGTACACACGCAGTGCTGCCAGGGTTCAGGGTGAGACTAGCAAGGTCTAAAGGCTACAGGAGACTCTCCCAGGCAGGCCTCAGCCAGGCCCCTCAGCAAGGTAAGAGGTGTGCAGACCTCTCAGAGCACAGGGCCAGGACAGCTGTGTCTGAGTGAGTTCTCTCGATGGGAGTTTTATTTCCTGTTTTGCCAGCTCTTACACGCAAGGCGAAGGGAAATGTTCAGGTGGGGAGGTGCCATCCCCACACTGGGGAAACTAATTATTGAGCTGCAGGCCACCTTTGCTTTCTTCCTTTTCCCAGAAAAAAATAAATAGGAGAGATGAGATCAGAATACCTAGGGCGGGAAAAGACATGGCTGGGGATGATGTGGGAAAGGCAGCGGGAGACAAGCTCAGGTGGAGGGTGGGGATTGGAGTCGGAATTTTGGCTGGAGCAAGCGTAGCAGGCCTGTATGACCTGGGATGACCTCCGGAGGCTTGCGCCAGAGAGATACCTCACTTTGGAAAGAACATGGCCCCTGGAGCAGGACGAGGCCATGTATGCTCACCCGGGTTACCTCGTGCTGTCTCCAAACCACCACAGACCGCTCAGCCCCAGCACGAGCTGATGAGCAGGGTTCATCTATATCCCCAAAACAGCTGTGGGACAGAGCTTTTCACAAAGCCTTCACACTGCGTTAAGCTTCTGCCAGAGGCTCAGCACAGTTCGAATCTGTTTGGGGGGGAGTCTGAATATACAGATACCAGGAGGTCTTTGTGAGTAGGCCGCCTGTGCACCCAGGGTGCACCTTCCTGGCGAGCGCAGCCACAGAGGAAGTGGGCTCAGAGTGCAGCCTAGTGGGGACTCCAGAATCTAAAACGAGGTGGTTAACTGAACAACAATAAAGTAATCATAAAATAAAATAATAAAATAAAATGAAGTTGCAATTATTCTAGAGCCAATCTACTGGGGCAAGAAGGATGGGGATATCTGAGATTCCTTTTTTTCAAACTTCTGAAAGATGTGAATTACTAAAAAGGAAGTGAGAGAGCAAGGCATTTGATGACTGTGTGGAGGGGGAAAGGGAGGAGTTTGAGGGGAGGGTGGTTGAAGGAAAAGATGGACAAAAAGCGGGTATTTCTGTCCCCTTCCTGCTCCCATTGTCCCCAATCACCCATTTCTTTGTCTTCAGCTCCCATCTGTACTGTTGGTCAGACGCCAGAAGTGTGGGCACTGCTGGCAGGTTGTGTGGAGCAGAGAGGGACTGATCATGAGCTAGCTTCCTGCCCACTTTTACTCTCTCATTCTCACTTCCTGCCTGTGGTAGAAGATTGTCCTGTCCCTGCAGCTTGTGTCAGCAAAGAACAGTGCCCAGCCCAGCTCGGAGGGCAGTGGGAGAGGTCTGAGAGGCTGTAAGGACGCAGGGAACTAGGCCCGGGGGTTGAAGGACAGGGATGCAGGTAGGAGGAAAGTGGCTGCATGCACTCTGGTGTGAGCGGCGTGGTGGGCAGAGGATGTGGAATGGCACAGCCCCTGGTGCCTCTGTGTGCTTGGTGCTTTCTTTACCCTTATGGCTGCGTCTGCCCTTCCTCCTGGGGCCGGTAGTCCATGCCTCCATGCATACTTGCGTGTTACAGGGTGTGCAGCAACATTGATTGACAGGTTACTAGGCATCTGGTGTGCACATCTCATACGGTACCTACCTCTACCTCTGTGTGTCCCTGCATGGTCACGTGTGGAGTTGGTATGCTTATGTTACCACTCCTGTGTGTGTTGAGGTGACTAAGCCTATGCAGGCCTCCATGCATGTCCCCCCTCCTCCCTGGTGACATGAAACCCCAGCATCCATTCTTTTCTGGGGTGGCTGCTGTTTCTTTACTTCTTGCATTTCCTCCACAACCTGACCTCTCCCTCAAGGCAGGGTTGGGGAGAGGCCAGGCTGCCCCTTCCCAACACCTAGAACCCTCCTTCCATTTCCTGTTTCCTCCTTTTTGGCAGCCTTTTCCATCTTGCCATCTGGCCTGGCACTCTGCCTATTCAGCTCCACTGAAGGGAGCCTCAGGGAACAGCGGATGGGGTGGGGACTGGGCAGGGGCCTGGCAGCTCTCAGCGCTCAGCTTGGGCTGCTCTGTGTAAGGCTGTCAGAAACGGATGACTTTTTGACAAATAGGCCCCACTATAAAGAAACCCAAGGACTTTTCTTTTGGAATGAGAGCATTACCATCTCCTTTATGAAAAGATTCTTTAAAAAAAAGATTCTTAACTTTACCTTCAAGTAACAACTCATGTAATACATTTTGGTCTATTTAACATTGTAACTTTGTCAACTGAAAGACTTGAAATTCTTGGAAAATAATTGTTCATTCACTCATTCAATGTCTAGTATGTGCCCCCTAGTTGTAACGTGTATTGATTTTCCAAGTAATGGTTAAGAAAGATAAAGTGTTACTGTAAGTATAGTGTGAACTGTTAATGAAATTTTAATGCAGGCTGTTTCCAAATAGGCCTTTTTAAGGTACATGATCTTTTACTAAGTGAGTTATACATAGTCAGAAATGTGATAAGAAGTGGTTAGTTGTTGTTTTCCGATATCACTTGCCCTGGGGAGGAGGTGATGGACTTAGGGTGAGAAGCCCTGTGGAGGAGCACAGGGGGCAGGAAAGGAGGCCCCCTGCCGACAGACACACGTCGTGGGGAGCAGAACCCCCGCCCCTCATGCAACCCTCAGATGACTGCAGCTGCACAGGACTGCAACCCAGCAGAGTCATCCCAGATTCCTATCACTCAGAAACTGTGGGGATGCTTATTGTTTTAAGCCGCTAAATTTTGAGGTATTTTTATGCAGCAATATGTAACTAATACATATTTTAATCTTTGAGGCATAAAATAAATAGGTCAAGAATTACCTGTTCTACAAAATATTGAAAAGCACCCTGTCCTGATATGCCAAGGTTGTGGGTTCGATCTCCAGTCAGGGCACGTATAAGAAGCAACCAGTGAATGCATTAAAATTTAAAAAAAAAAAGAAAAGAAGAAGTGGTCAGCTGTAAAAAAGAAACAAAATGTGGTTAGCCGACTGCACTGATATGAAATGTAGCAGAATCACAGACTGAATAAACAGGGGGGGAGGGGCAGATACCCTGCCCCACAGCCAGTGAATACCACAGAGCCTGCTAAGCAGAGAGACTGAAGTGTGCGTGAGCTTGGGAAAGAAAGCAGTGACAAATGTGGTCCCTGCCCCAGGATCCTACCATCTAGTCGGGGAAATGGAACAAACAGACATAAAACAACCTGAGGAGTGTGAAGCAGCAAGCTAAGTGCTTACGTAGTTAAGGTGAGTGGAACTTGTGAGGAGGGGCATAGTTGTGTGCGTGAAAGAGAGATGAGCCTGTGTTACCAGTGTTTGAAGTGGGAGGCAGAAGTGAATTATTAAAAAGCATATGTTTCCATTAGACCAATGAGGAAGTAAAATGATTTCCCTATTAGCACAGGTTTCATACAGGTACCTATAAAAACCAGGGCCTCTGTGCAGTGTCCGTCCTTGTCTCCAGCCATCCACTCTTACTGGAAGAAGCACCAGACAGCTTGGACATTGGAGCCAGGAGGTCCTGGGTTTGAATCCTCACTCCACTCCTCACTGACTGAGCTCTTAAGTAGTTTCCTTTCCTGTAAAAATGAGCATAAACACTGACCTCAAAGGGCTGTTGGGAGGATTAAAGATTATGCATATAAAATACCCTGGGATATGGCGAGCGATCAGTAAATAACAGGTATGTCATTCAACATTTATTGCCACTGACGTAGATGCTGGTGATACAAAGATGAATAAGTCACAGTCCACAGCCTCTCCCACAGTCTAGTGGGAGGGGCAGATGAAGAACAGCTAATTACAATACAGGTGGGAAGAGCTATGGCGAACCTGCGCACCAAGTGGGAGCGCCAGTGAGGGGACCATGTCTGCCTTGTAGGGAGGGAGGGAGTCAGGAAAAGCTTCACATAGTCCTAAGAGATGACTGACTTTGCCAGCTGGAGAATGAGAAGTTCATTCCAAATTGAGGAAACAGCAGGTGCAAAGGCAGAGTCCCGAGAACATAAGGTATGAGCACAATTATTATTTTGATGTAATTGGAGCAAAGGAGCATGGGAAGTGGGGCATGTGTCAGGAAAAGAGCCTGGTTTTATTCACTCTTCAGCATGTTTAAACCCCATTTAGTGTCACTTTCACTGCTGACTTTGGTATTTTGCAGAGGAAGTGTTTATTCCCTTTAACTGTTCTGCCTCTTACAAGTCTCAAATTGCTGATAGTTGTGGCTGTAGGGAGGACTGATGAACAAAAACTCACAAGAAAACTTGTTGCAGCCAGGTTCACAATTTGGTTCCACGTAAGAATTCAAGCAGTTTCTTTTGAATGGAAGAAGTCCAGTGTCCTAGGATAATTGCTCAGGGTCTCCAGACAACTTTGCTCCCTGAGGTGGTGTGGGTGTCACAATAGCCAACAGGTAGAAAAACCCAAGCAACCAATGACAGAGGAAAGGGTAACTGAAATGTGACATACAAGTATATGTTATTCAGCCATAAAAAAATGACTGCCGTTTGATACATGCTACACCATGGGTGGACTTTGAAGCTTTATGCTAAGGGAACTAAGACAGATACGAAGGGACAGATACTACATGACTCCACCCATATGAGGCATCTGGAATGGGTACATTCATGAGACAGAAAGTAGAATAGAGGTTACCAATGGCTGGTGGGCGGGGTGGTGGTAGAATGCAGTAATTGTTTCACGGGTATAACGTTGTTGTTTGGGGTGGTGGAAAAGCTCTGGAAATAGTGGTGGCAGCTACATAACGTTAATGCACTTAGTGCCACAGTACATTTCAAGATGGTTACCATGGTAAATATTAAGTTAGGTGTATTTCACCATATACGCACAAAATAAATGGCACCTGTGTAGCTCCTATAGCCTTGTGGCATTAAGGAAGGTGGGATTCTGAGACCATGTCCTGTTGTCTGGCTCCTCTACCTCTTAGCCATACCCTCTGCCAGCTGTCATCTGAGGACTGCAGCTGCTGCAGTCTGCTCGCTCCAGAAGCCTCATCAGCACCCCTGGTACTTTCTCACCTCACGGCCTTGCTCTCTTGGCTTAGGGTCCCCTTGGAACCTTCACTCCCAAACCACCATCTCCCCTCTATCACAGAACTCCACCTGGGGGGGTTCTCTAGTAGCTCAACCCACAGGTTGTTTGCCCTGGTAGAACTCTGCTGCTTGTTTGATCAGCCTATGAGAGCCCTGTTATCATCCCCACTTTAAAGCTGTGGAAACTTAGAGGTCAGACAAGCAAGGTGAACTCAGGGCACTTTGAGCACAAACCCAGCTCACACAGGAGCAACAGTGGATGTGATGAGCGAGACTGGGGTGTTGTACTGTACTTGGAGCTTGAACTTCATTCTTAGGTAATGGGGAGTCAGCAGAGTTCCAGGGAGGTGCTGTATCGCTCTTGCCACCACCTGACGTAATATCTTCTTACTTGTACTTTATTACCTGTCACCCTCCAGGGGAATGAAAGTACGTGGGGGCAAGACCTTTGTTTTGTTCATTGCTGTGAGCATACCCGTGAAAGCCCAAACACTTTCCATATATCATGTCCTTTAACCTAAAAACCTCATGAAGGAACCCCCTTCTTCTTCCATGCCTCCCCCCAGGTAAGGAAAATGAAGTTCAGAGCGATTAAGACACTCTTCTGTGGACAAAATCTAGGCAAATCGGCAAAGCCAGGATTTAAACCCAAGCAGTCCAGCACTGTGCTCTGGGGCCTTGCTCCAGAAAGCCACTCTGGCCAAATGAAAGGTAGGGGAAAGACCTGAGACTGAGAAAAGACTCAATAGGCCAGGTTTGGCTAGATAAGCATCGGTGTCTTAGGCCTTGCCCTTGCATAATTTTTACTTTGGGCTTGCCTTCCTATTCCAGGTCTGCAGATGATGAAGCTCTGACCAAAGGCATCCATCTGCCCTGCAGCCGTAGCCCACATTCTCATGCCCTGCCTCAGCTCGCTTTGGGACTGTCTCTGTGCAGCCTCCAGGGCCCCTGTTCTGGAGATAAAAGTGATGCCAGGACCCTGATGTGCTCCATGATGCCCCAAGCCTAGCTCCTCGGCACACTTAGGCACGATGTTGGTCAACTCCTTCGCCAACACTTCTACCAACAACTCTGAGGTCCCGTGCCCTGACTACCGGAACACCCACCGCCTGCACATGGTGGTCTACAGCCTAGTTCTGGCCGCAGGGCTTCCGCTCAACGCGCTGGCCCTCTGGGTCTTCTTGCGCGCTCTGCGCGTACACTCAGTGGTGAGCGTGTACATGTGCAACCTGGCGGCCAGTGACCTGCTCTTCACCCTATCGTTGCCAGTGCGCCTCTCCTACTATGCGCTGCACCACTGGCCCTTCCCGGACCTCTTGTGCCAGACAGCAGGGGCCATCTTTCAGATGAACATGTACGGCAGCTGTATCTTCCTGACCCTCATCAACATTGACCGCTACGCTGCCGTCGTGCACCCGCTGCGGCTGCGCCACCTGCGGCGGCCCCGCGTGGCGCGGCTGCTGTGCCTGGGCGTGTGGGTGCTCATCCTGGTGTTCGCAGTGCCCACTGTGCTCGTGCACAAGCCGTCGCCCTGCAGCTCCCATGGCCTCCATGTGCGCCTGTGCTTTGAGAGCTTCAGCGAAGAGCTGTGGCAAGGGGGGCTGCTACCGCTCGTGCTGCTGGCCGAGGCGCTGGGCTTCCTGCTGCCGCTGGTGGCCGTGGTCTATTCATCCAGTAGGGTCTTCTGGACCTTGGCGAGGCCTGACGCCACGCAGAGCCTGCGGCGGCGGAAGACGGTGCACCTCCTGCTGGCCAACCTGGTTATCTTCCTGCTGTGCTTCGTGCCCTACAACACCACGCTGGCCGTCTATGGGCTGCTGCGGAGCAACCTGGTGGTGGGGAGCCAGGCGGCCCGTGATAACGTGCGCGGGGTGCTGATGGTGTTGGTGCTGCTGGCCGGCGCCAACTGCGTTCTGGACCCGCTAGTGTATTACTTTAGTGCCGAGGGTTTCCGCAACACCCTGCGCGGCCTGGGCTCTCCTTTCAGGCCCAGCACCTCGGCCACCAACGGGATTGGAGGGGCGCTTGCCCAAAGGCCCTCTGAGAATACCAACACCATGAGGCCTGCTTCCGCCAACCAAGGACTGCTCCGGCATTCCAGTCTCCGGGCGCCCTTCAGCCAGAGCCCTGAGGATTCTGTCCTCTGAACGCACAAAGGGCCCTAGTGCGGTTACATCCATCTCTATCCCCTCACGCTTCTCACACTCGGAAGACTTGCAGGGTGCGCCTACTTGCAGGGCGTATACATGATCAGACACCTGTGTTTCTGCATAGCAACTTCAGTTCATAAATGCAGAAGGAGCAAAGTGTGGGAACAAGGGGCACAAGGAAGGAAGAGTGCTGGTAGAAATGTCTTTAAATTGGCGGTGTTGGTGAGCGTGGGGAAGACCTCTTTTCCTGTCCTTAGGAAGTGATGCTGTGAGCCTGCCAATACAGAGAGAGGCAGAACACTGGATGAAGTGCCCTTGGCGGGACTTGAAACACTGCTGAGAGCTGGCTGACCGGGCAGAAAACCGGTGTCCTGGATTTAGACTGACCACAGCAGTCTTAAGGCCATAGATGCCGCCCACATTTCATCTCCACCTCTGCTTCCCCTGCCTGGCATTGAGGCCATAATATGAGAGTGCATTGGATACACAGAACTGGTTTCCTTTTTGTATAGAGGTTTGTAACAAGTTAGACCCGACCCCCAACATGAGGTGGTTGGGGGCAGGGCAAAACCGTGAGAAGGTTTTTTCCTCCAAAATCTTGGCCTCTCTTTCCCTTTCTAAGTGTTATCCTTAAACTTTAACTCCCTTCCAAGACCTCCTCCAATCTAGGTCCTAAGTCTCCCCCTCTCCCCCCACCCCTGCTTCGTCTACAATAAGGAAACAATTGTACTAACATGGCAGTTCTCAAGCTTTTTGGTCTCAGACCCTTTTACACTCTTAAAAACTGAGGATTCTAAAGAGCTTTTGCTTGTACTTTACCACATTAGAAATTAGATACTTACCGTATTAGAAATTAAAACGAAGCTTTTAAAACAAATTCGTAAGCACACATTTCATTAGTGGTGAGTGCAATGATATCATCATATTTCATGAAGCCTCTGGAAAACCCCACTGTATATTAGTGAGAGAACAAGAGTGGAAAGAACAAACGACTGGTATGGTCATACTGCTGTCCTCATCGGCTTCAGAACTCGTCAGACCCTGTACTCATCACATTTTGACGAGAAACAAAAATGCTTCAGCACTCAGCACTTGCTCGGCGGGACTCGTTGGTTTGGGCACCGTCACTGAGTTTCGGAAGGAGTTACTGACAAGTACCAAGGTACTGTTGCATTATGAAAATAGTTTTGACCTCGTGGATTCCTCAGAAAGTTGGTCCCCAGATCACACTTTGAGAATCATACCTGTACTAAATTAGAGTAATACAGTGTTAGAGCTCAGGAGTAGCTTGTTCCTAGGGCATTATGTATATCCATTGTCTTTTATGGGAGAGAGCAATGTTCACCAAATCAACTGCTAATTGTAGTCCTTAAGGCCTGGGGTTTGAGGGTGGGTGGGGGACAGTAGGAGCTGCACACAGAAAGGAACACTACTACCTTAGGCTTCCTGGAGCAGCAGCCCTAAGCTGGGGTGGAACTAATTACGCAAACACTCAAGAAGAGGGGTGGAGCTTCTCCTGGGAGGGAAAAGGGGCTGTGCCACAGCTGGAAAAGAAGAGTTCACAGGGCAGAGTGCCATAGGAGCACAGGAATAGCTGTTCCTAGCAAGCTAGAGGCAAGGGAAACGGAAAACTGATTTAATGAGCCACATACTGCTTTCTTTCCTCTTTTTTTTTTCCCCCTTAGGATTTTATTTATTTAGCCCTGGGTGGTGTGGCCCCGTGGGTTGAGTGCAGGCCTGTGAACCAAAGGGCTGCCCATCAGTTCCATTCCCAGTCAGGGCACATGCCTGGGTTTCGGGCCAAGTTCCCAATTAGGGGCAGGTGACAGGCAACCACGCAATGATGTTTCTCTCCCTCTCTATCTTCCTTCCCACCTCTTGAAAAATAAATTAATCTTTTAGAGAGGCGGGAAGGAAGGAAGAAAGAGAAGGTGAGAAACATTGATGTGAGAGAGAAATATCAATTGGTTGTCTCTTATACATGCCTCAAAAGGGGACCAAAACTGCAACCCAGGCAGGTGCCCTGACTGGGAATCAAACTGGTGACCTTTCGCTTTGGGGGATGATGCCCAACCAACTGAGTCACACCAGTCAAGGCCCTATTTATGTATGTATGTATGTATGTATGTATTTATTTATTTATTAAATAAGAGAAAGTTTATTTAGAAAGTAACAGAGGTAGAAGAAATGGGCTCAGGAAACAAGTCACAGGGGCAAAAGAAGGGGCCCTTGGAGCTTAGAAGAGAGGAAGGTAAATGTAATACTCCTGGAGTGGGAGGGGGAGAAGAGGGGGAGGGAAAGGGTGCAGGTGTGCTCCTAGGAGGTAGAGTGCCTGTTTTCTTCCGTCTTTACAGGAGTTGGGAGCTGGGAGGGGTTGCAGAGTTGGCACTGTGACATTTTGAGGCCCTGACATCAGTGAGGGAGTTGTTGCCATTAATGTATCTTGTACGCATTTCTGTGCCTGTCACTGTCAATGCTGTATGCTTGTGCATGTGCGCGTGCACACACACAGCAGTGCCAGGGTTCTCCTGTGTGTATCTCTGTTTCAGTTTGGAGTAAGCCTTTTGTGTGTCTTTATGTCACCTGTCCAGATGGTGATTTACAGGGATAAAATGACCCCTGGTGGCCAAAGCTGAGAACTGACCCAGATTCCTTAGAGACAGCCTTGAAGTCTGGGCCTTCCACCACCTGGCTGTAGGTTAGAGTCCTGGGCCTGGCCCTTACCTCCTGCTTCTCTAGAAGAGGCCTGACGCTTAGCACCTGCTCCATCGTGCTTCATCCTTAGAGTTTAGGACCCATGCCCTTCTAACCCCAGGAGCGCCAAACATCACTTAGTCCAAAGTCTCAGCACGTTGCCCTATCCAAACAGAACTGAACACAATTTTAAAAAATTACCTGACTATTTTTATATGCTGATACGTGAATGAATTCCAAAGTAATTAAACCTCATGTAGCAAGTATCTTCTACATACTATATAATTTACATATTCATTATAGTGTATTGTGTCTCCTCTGCCTCCCTAGGTAGAATGTGAGCTCCCTGGGGGCAGGGATTTTGGATTGGTTCTCTGATGTACCCCCGACATCTAGAATGGCACTTAGCACAAAAGAAGTGCTCAATAAATATTTGTTGAGTGATGAGTTGGGTCTTCCTGTGAAGTAGTTTACTATGTAGTGGGGACCAAAGAACAAATCAACAGTAATTACCATTTAAGACAGAGGATGCAAGAATGCAGGATAAGGTGTTGGCAGTTAATTTAGTGGGCAATGGGAAGCTCCTAAAGGTTTTTTAAAAATTTATTCATTGATTTTTAGAGAGAGAGGAAGGGAAAGAGAGAGAGAGAGAGAAACATTGACCTGTAGCTCTACCTACCCAGGCTCATTGGTTAATTCTCGTATGTGCCCCAACTGGGGATTGAACCCACAACCTTAGCATATTGAGACAATACTCTAACCAACTGAGCCACCTGGTCAGGGTCCCTGCAGTTTCTTGAGTTTGGTTTTGCTCACCCTGACATACTGTGTGGGATAAACCACAGGAAATCAGGTGGAGAGAGTCTAAGAAGAAAGGAAGACTGGTCAGGGAGCTATTAAAATAGCCCAGGCACAGCGTGATCATGGCTTGTGGAGGTGGATGGAGGTGGGTTGTCTCCAGTGGGAAATCTCCGATATTTAAGTTCAGGTGGACTGTTTCTGCACATTCAGTACACCCGCCCTTAGAATTTCCATCACAGGAAGAGAGAGGCAAAAATAGGTTAAGGACATGTGGCAGGCAGAGGAGGAATGACCAGAACCTGTCAAGTAACAGGCTGGGGAAGTTTAAGAAAACCTGTAGCTGGAGCTGTTATCGCAGGATTCCCCAATTACTGAGTGGGCTGTATGATGGAGAAAAGACATCGGGAATCCAAAGTCCATGTCCTTGAGTTACCCCAACTGAGGTTTAGAAAAATCCAAAGGAGGAAAATGACAAAATCTTAAATGGAAGGAGAAGAGCATTAGCAAGTTTTTAAAATTCACTCTAGCCATGGCTGGTGTGGCTCAGTGGATTGAGTGCTGGCCTGCAAACTGGAAGGCCACAGGTTCAATTCCTGGTCAGGGTGCACACATGGGTTGTGAGCTAGGTCCCCAGTTGGGGATGTGAGTGAGAGGCAACCGATCGATGTTTCTCTCATACATGTTTCTATCCCTTTCTCTCTCCCTCCCCTTCTCTCTGAAAATAAATGTAAAAGTCTTAAAAATAAAATACACTTTGTATAGGATCTCAAGGAGGAGCTGCTCTTCATGAAGAACCCTGAGGAGGAAGGGTCTACAAAACCAGATTGCCACCTCTAGGTTGATAGTGGAGTTGGATGTGCCCAAATCTCAGGACCTCAGCAAGATCGCTGCAGACATCTGGGCCCGGTATGATGACTGACTGGCTTGGGAGAACTGACAGGATCTAGACAAGTACTGGTCTCAGCAGATTGAGGAGAGCACCACAGTGGTCACCTCGCAGACATCTAAGATGGGAGCCGCTGAGATGACACAGAGCTGAGACATATGGTCCAGTCCTTCCAGATTGACCTGGACTTGGTGAGAAAGGCCAGTTTGGAGCACATCCTGAGGGAGGTGGAGCCGCACCACGCCGTGCAGATGGGACAGCTCACTGGGCTCCTGCTGCCCCTGGAGTCAGAGCTGGCCCAGACCTGGGCAGAAGGGCAGCGCCAAGCCCGAGTACCAGGCCTTGCTGAGCATCAAGGTCAAAATGAAGGCTGAGATCGCCACCTACTGTGGCTTGCTGGAAAAAGGGGGGGACTTCAATCTTGGTGATGCCCTGGACAACAGCCAGTGCATCCAAAAGACCACCACCTGAAGGATTGTGGATGGCAAAGTGATGTCCGAGGTCAACGACAGCCAAGTTCTGAGGTGTTAAGGCAGCAGAAGTGGGGCAACCCTTGAGCAGGAGGCCAACAAAAAGTTCAGAAATCAAAATAAAATATAATAAAAACACTTTCTGTATGCTTGGATCTTAATCTAGTGCTTAGAACACATTATCTTATTTATTAAAATAACTCCCTAAGTTAGGAATGATTATTACCCCATTTCATAGGTGAAACAGCCTGGAGAAGCTGAGGTCTTCAGGCTACACAGCCACTGAGCGGTGAGGTACTCCTTTGGCTCCTAGACATCTCCTGGATCTCCCCTTCCTGGCACTTCCCATCTTTGCGTTGCTGCCTCTGCGACATCCACCCTTCCCTCCTTTCCTTTCTTCTTCCTTCCCCATGTAAGTCACCTCTCTCGAATGCCCCTCTCACCTTGGATCTGTTCTCCCATCCCTGTCCCTTTTCCCAGTTCTTCCCTCAGGTTTTGCTCTAACCCCCTCAGCCTACAGCACCTGTCCCTTCCCTCTCCATTTGCCTCGAGCCCCGGTGCAGAACGTCCTGTAGCTGCGGCACACACCGCAGAATAGCTCAGCCTTTGTGCAGCTGGCTGTGACTCCCCTACCCCAGTGAGGATGTGCCCAACATCTCCAAGACACAGCGCTCTTGACTGTCCACCAACTAAACAGAAGAGGAGACCTCCTCCCCCAGGTTCTCCACAAAGTCTGTCTCCTCTGTAGGATGGTCCCGCCATGCCTGGAGTAGTCAGGGGAGTCACAATCATTGGTCTTAAAGTCAAGTCAGGAGAACCGGGGCATAAATAAGGGACCCCAAAGGGGCAGAGATGCTTTTCTTTCGGCTCTGAAGCACCCCGAAGGAAGTCCTTGCAGGTCCCTACTTGGGGTTCTGTGGAAGAAATGGGGAGGGGTGGTTAATCTCACACCAGGCCTTTCTCTTTCTTTCAGGAGACCCTGGTGACAAAGAAGGCTGGGTAACTCTCAGCCTGCTGAAAGCATTCAGGGGCACACTTAAAGCATTAAGAAGTGAAGTTCCTCACATGGGTCTTGGAGAACCCCAAAGGCTTTCTGAACTTTGGCATCAGACAAACCTAGGCATTCATTTCAGACCTGACACTTCTCAGCAATGTGACCTAAGCAATTAAGTAACCTCTGAACCTCTGTTTTCTCCTCTGTGAAATGGGGAGCATGATACCTACTTCTGGATTGCTGTGAGGGTCAATGAGCTCACCTTTGAAAGCACCTGAGAGGCATCTGCAAAGGGGAGCTCTTTCCCACAAGAATGTGAGGAGGAAGTGCCATTGGCAAAGTCTGCTTGTAATGCCCAAGCAGAGGGCTTTTGGAAGACAGCAAAGGAGCCAGGTGAATCCTCACCCAGACAGAACTCTGCTAGCAAGGGAGGGCCAGAGGATGGGTGAGCAAGGCAGGCTGGGCGAGTTTCCATAGTATTAGGAGGTCAAGTAGACAGTTTTCAGGGGCAGTGACTGGCCTGTTGCCCTCTGGGGGCACTCTCTCCCCACTGGACCCAAGTCCACCCACTGACAGAGGAGTGGGTGGAAAGTGCCTGAAAGGGAGAGGAGAGGGGCCAGGGGATGAAGCATCAAGCAAAGGAGAAAGGCAAGAGAAGAGGCAGGAGGGGAAGTCAGGGCCCTGGCAGGCACAGGGTGGGGCCCAGAGAGGGGCCCAGGGCAGGAGGGCGGGAGAGAGCCCGGGAGGCTGAGCGCCGAAGAGGGCGGAGGGAGGGACAGGCAGGCAGACTGGCGGCGCTGACACAGCCTCGATATGTGGAACGGGCTGGGGTTTGGCCCACAGGTCAGGCGTCTGGCAATATTATGGGATGGAGAGGCCTTAGGAGACAGGGAGAGTATTATGGGCTGGAACAGCCTTAGGAGACTGGGGAGTATTATGGGCTGGTGAGGCCCGGCTCCAACTGGAGGCGGGAGGAAGGGGTGCGGGGCGGGAAGGGGGTGGTGGTGGTGGAAGGGAATATTATGGGCTGGAGGCCTCCTGCGACCAGAGGCAAGAGTATTATGGGCTGGCAAGGCCTTCGGTGGCCAGAGGGGGGAGCTGCGGGGGATGGCACCGGCTGCATGTGACTGAGGGGGGGCCAAGTTGGGGGGGTGGAGAGTGGGGGTGGGGAAGCATATTATGGGATAGCTCTTTGTACCTACTGCGGGGACTGCTTCTCCAGAAGATATTATGGGATGTTGTGTGTGGGAGGGGGAGTGGGCCTGGGGGGATTATTATGGGATGGTGGTGCAGAATGGGGAGGGCCTGAGAAGCTCTTCTCCACCCCCCAACCCCTTACTCTCTTGCCATCCTCTCTAAGGTCTGCCTTCTCTCTCAAACGACCCAAGAGGAACACCTGAAATCCACCCCCCACACACACACTTTAGGCACCTCAACCCATCCTAGACACCTCCCCTAACCAGCAGCCACCTCTGGGGACCTCAGGGGAAAAGGCAGCAACTAGGGATGGGGAGAAAGCCCCAAAGCAGGGTTGTGGTGGCTAGTGGACCACACCTTCCACCTCCAAGGGGGTCCCCGTGTCTTCTTACTTCCTTGGACCACTCTCCTTCCCCTTCTCCCTCCGTTCCCCAAAATGGGGGCCCTAGGTCCCCCTCCTCTCCCCCCTACCCTCTATTTCCTCTTCTGCTCCCTCCACAGCCTTAACCAGTAAAACAGGCGGCCAGCTATTATGGGATGGCTGCTCCCAGCAGCTCTGCAAGGAGGGGGCGGTCACCGCGGAATGTCTTTTGTGGGTGGGTATTATGGGATGGCCGCCTCTCTTTTTTGGGGGGGGGCTAGCAAGGAGAAGGATTATTATGGGATGTGTCCTGCACAGCTGGGTGGGGCTGTCCTGGGTAGGTGAAGCTCTGGAGAGAGGGGGAGGGGAAAGGGAAGGAAGAGGGCAGGAGCTGGGGAGGGTGGATGAGCTGTGGAGCCAGACCTGAGGCCTGGCAAGAGTAACTGGCTGGAGAGGTTCTTTGGTGACAGCTGTTTGAAGGGGCCCCTGGGGCAGACAAGAGCTAACCAACTCTGAATCCTGGACACCTGGGTCCTTGTAGCTCACGCAGCTTGTGAGCTGCAAGGTTACTGAGTCCTGGGCCTGCAAGTGCTGCCCTGGCAGTGAAAATGCCTGGGTTCCAACTGTATGGCACACCAAAGGGAGCAGTGCTCCTGGGTGACCACTGCACCCAAGTACTCCTCTCTGTCTTTGCCTTCCTGGATTTGAGCCTTGGAACCATAGCCGAGGTAGGGGGGTGATGCCACCTTGCAGTCACATCCGGGGAATAGAGGCTGGGTTGGGTCCTGAAGGGCAAGTGCCTAGCCCATCACTCCTCCCACCCCTCACTCCCCACCCCCAAACCTGCAGGACTGGCATCCTGTCTAGCCATCAGAATGCACTGTCACTGTGGCTTTTCTTCCTTATGGTGTCTTCCCAAATCCTTTTTTCCGACAGAGGAGGAGAGCACTGGTCCCTTAGATCTCTTATAAGCAGAGAGAGTTTCTAGGGCTCACCCAGAGCAGAGATGTAGAAGGAGGAACTATGTACACAGCATGTGCCCAAAACTCCACGGACAATCACTCTTGAGTGTTATTCGAGGTTCTTCTGTACCACGGATGGAAAAAGAACTCTAAGGTAACTGGCTAGAGAGGCTGTCCCCCTGGATGCATTAATCAGGAGATTATCCCACCCCTTAGTCCCAATGGGCCAATCATGCTAGTGGTTTATTTATAATTTATCTGGGAGGGTAGCTTGGAGCCAGGGTAGGGAGGTGGAGCATAGATGCACAAAGACCACAAAAGCAATGTAGAACACATACACATCCTAACCCTCACTGGAACTTTCACCTAGAGGTGGGAAGGCGGAGGAGCAAGAGGGTACATGGGTAGAACCTGCAGAGATGGGAACCTGCACAAAAGGTACCAGTGTTTGTCATCACAAGCAGGAGGCTGTGACCACTCAGTTATAAAACTCTCTTGGTTTATATTAGCAATCATTGTACTAATGTGGTATGTAGAAGAAAAGGGGCAGATGGAGATTTATGGAAGGGAATGTGAGGCCCAGAGGCAGACTAGATCCCCTGGAGAAATGGGAAGAGAGGAGAACACAGTAGGTGTCTGTTAGCTCTATATAGGAAGGAGAAACTTCTTGAAAGGAGGTATGACCACACTATGATATCTTTAAAAAAACTGCCTCATTTCCCCCAGGTGAGAAGCACAAGGCTCCTCCTTAGTACTCAGAATAAGCATGGGGGAAGGTTTGCACAAATGAATGGGGCCCAATCTTGAAGTTAAGAGGATTTAATGAGGAAGACCATGGCAGCCTTGTGGAATGGGGAAAACAGCCTGCATGTCACAATGGATGTGGCAAAAAGGTGGACCAGGGAGTTAAGTCGGGTAGGAGCCAGTGGAAAGACTTATCGGTGTCACCGATACTCTGCTTAGAAGCAAAGGGATGGTGAGTTCCAGAAGCAAGTCTTGTGTCTTCTGAACTCTTCTCCTTGCCAGTTCTCCATTCCTATGGCTCCCAGAGGAGAGGCGAGTCGTTGGCTCAGGCTCTTTCTCTAGGGAAGTGAGATCAGAAGGGCAATGCAGAGATGGTAAGAGGTTCATCCCACCCACTTCTGGTCAGGAGGGGCTTCTCCTAGGGAAAAGTTCCGGTTTCTCTTCGACTTTCCCCACTGCCATAGGTCTTGGACTTGTGTGAAAAATGCACAAGAGAACAGATGAAGACATTACTTCTGGCTTGGGGTTGGGGTTGGAGGGCAGCAAGGTGACAGTGCTAGGACAATGGTTTTCACTCAGGCCCTGGTTCTCTAGGGGTCAGGAAAAGGAAAAAAGTGACAGCTTTATGGGCTCAGGTTCTCCGAGGTCCAAAGGATTTTAGGATTGGGCTCTCCAGCTTTCTCAGCCCGGGTCCCCAAGGAGGCTGCAGGGTAAGGCACAACTAGGGGAGGGTGCGGATATGTCGAGAGACTATCTTGTGACTATAATGGAATGAAGAAGGCATCCTGGAGTGTTGGCTTGTGCATGTCGAGGGGAAGACGGTGAATATTATACAACAAAGGGTTTTTTGGTTGGTGGAAAATGGGGCCTCAATGAGGTG